GTGATAAGTAGGGTATGAAAAAGTAAGGGTAAAAGTGATTTTTTAATAGAAAATGGAAGTGTTTTGTTGGAAATGGAAAAAATGAAAGAGGAAGTGTTTTTGAGAAGGGAGGGAGTATGATTTTTTATTATTTAACCATTGTAGCTAACTACATGAGCTAAGGGGCTAATTATTACTCGTATTTAAATATCCCACTTCCAAATTCCAATTAATTGACAAGCACGCCCACACACACAGATACATACATACATACATACATACATACATACATACATACATACATACACACACACACATACATACATACATACACACATGTCGAATTTTACAACTATGGGGTCCCCTACCTCCCATTCTCGTCTTAAACTACTTCATAAGTCACAACATTTAACAATAAACTAAAACTAATATTTGAATAGTACCATAATTAATACATAGGAATAGTGTCATATGAAAATAATGTCGTTTACAAATGTACTCGCATAGTTTTTATACTTTGAAAATGATCTAGAATTACATCATCACTAATGACATCATCACTAATGGTGGAAAAGACATCTCTCTCAACATAAGTTACTAAACAATCATTCAACCATTGATCACAAATTTTATTCTGCAACTCATTCTTCACAAACTTCATTCTGAAAAAGTCCATTCAACACTTGTTGTTGCAACAAGAAGTATCAATGTCAACTTTATGAGAGTATTTACGAAACCATATGTAAGAGACCTTTAGTGGACACTATTTTCATTGAGAGCTCAAAGACTCAAAATCAAAATTTCTTTCAATAGAAGTACATTGAGTGCTTTCTTGAATATGTGTGGATTGAGTGGTTTCTTGAACATGTGTGAATTGAGTGTCTTCTTGAATGAGAGTTCATTAATTACACAAATTAGACATAAACTGAATATTAATGTCAATTTTTTATTGAAGAAAACTCTTTTACCACTTTTTTTACTACTCGTTAATAAGTATGTCAAGTTAACACGTGAAGAACATTTCTCAACGGAGGGAGTAATGCTTTTCTTTCTTTTCAGGTTACACAATATCTCGAGGATACTTTTTAAAATGAAATATTTGCACTAAAAGTGCTATTTACGTAAATTCTCCTTCTAAAATTGTACTCGTAGATTAAGTTTCATATTTTTTTATCCAAAGAAAAGTCACACATATTTTAGTTTTTTGCATTCAAATAAGTAGTCCATTTGCTCTTTTTCTAGTAGTGAATCTAAAAGAACGTAGCAAACCTCTAATTTCAGATCCAATTTCTTAATTTTTCATAAAGAGTTATAAACGTAAAATGGTATTCATAGCTAAGCGATTACGTAATTTAAACAAGTTGGTGTTACGTTAGTATATAATGCTTTTCTTTCTTTTTAGGTTACACAATATCGGGAGGATACTTTGGTTTAAAATAGACACAAAAACTTTTGCAATATTTTACTCCGTATTACTTTTTCTGTCCCTATTATGATTACAAATTGCGGAAAACAAAGAATAATTCCAAAAATTTTTAATTCATTTTATTTAAAGATTGAGACATAAATAAAAAAATAAAACTCACATATTTAAAAACTACATCAAAAATTTTTAAAAATAAGATGTTACAAGAATATTGTATTTTATCTAATAGTCAATGAAAATACACAAATAAACAAAAGTTATTGTGATTTTGGAATAATAAATATTATAATGAATTTTGGGAGGGAGAGATCATGTATTTTATTTGGTCATCTTTTGTAATCTGTATAATAAAAAAATACAGAGTAATCATTAAAAATTTTGTTGAATTTGTGTCGATATAATTTTCATAATATAAGTGTTCTATAATTCTTAATTAAGGATTCTATTTTTTTTCTTTTTTTCCAATTTGCTAACGTGAAATTACAAGTGTTGCAACTGTTACGGAACGTTGCAATTCAAGCTCGAAGTATATACTTTCATGTGTCCCGTTAAATTTTTTCCACTTCACAAAATCTGGAATTTATAAAATGAGTAATTTCAGTGCTAATTTTTAATTTTGGCCTTACTTTATTGTACTCTCTCGGTTTTTAAACTTTTTTTCCAGTTTGATTTATGGGATTTGACTGAGATTATTTTTAATTTAATTTATGTGATTATAGATGTAAAATTAAAAAATAAGAATTATATATTCAAAACTATATCAAAAGTTTTACAAAATAAGGGGTAACATGACTATATTGTTTTATCAAATACCGTAACTAACAAAAATAGGTATGTACAGAAAGTGATTAAAGTCTACCTATGTGAATAGTATCTGGGAAGAAAGTTTTAAGACAGATGAAGTAGTATAAAATATGATGTGATGCATATATATGAATGATAATAAATATAAATGATGTGATATGTAGCCATGTAGGTTAATAATTACTAAATATGCAATAATGATAAAATAAAGAAATATTTTGATTGAGAGTATAAATGTCTTTTTGGGATGGATAAAAATTGAAAGTAGAAAGACTTTTTGAAACGGAGAGATTATTAAATACAAGGTACTAGAATAATGGGTTTACTTTATTGGTTTATAATTTAGATTATTTTTAATATAAACGGTAATAAATATTTTAATATAATAAGTTCTTTCATTGGTTCTTTCCCTAACTTTTTTAGTAACTATATTTAACGTGTACTTGAAGTTTATTATTATTATTATTATTATTATTATTATTATTATTATTATTATTATTATTATTATTATTATTATTATTTTGTAATTATTATTATTGTTATTTTTTATAATGTATGATCACTACTATATATGTAGACCATTCTTCTTCGATATGATCCAAAAAAGAAAAAAAAAAGAAGAAAGCAAGTAATAATTACTGAAATACACAATTTTAAAGATAAACTCCGTACTTATTACTAAATAAGAGCAATTAATTAAGGGATTGAAAGGCAGCATGAAGAAATATGTGATAATATTGTTGGTTCTCATTTTGCTCCACCATTGTCCTCTTCATGCTGCTGCCGATACTAATTATAATCCACCCCTCCCTATTTCAGGTACATACGAATATTATTAGACTGGTGCATTTTCAAATTGTGGTGATGCATTTTACACTTGAAGCAGTGCATTGTCGGAAAGTTTAATTTATTTACAAAATTGTCACCGCAATCTTTTCAGAATATTTGATTTTTAATACTCCCTCCGTCCTAAAACTTTTTTCTCAGTTTGACTTTTCTCCATTTTTAATTTTTGACTTTGACTTCAAATTTTACCCTCCTTAAAAAAGATTTTTTGAATTTTTTTTTGCAATCATTCAAAATATAGAGTTAGAAGATAATTGGTGTAAATACATGAGGGTATTAATGTCATTTGTCATCTTTTTTTCTAATGGGAAGGTAGTTTTAGGACGGAAAAAAAGAAGATGTATGAAGAAAGTTTTAGGACGGAGGAAGTATCTCTTAGATCTTAAATCTAATGGATCATATGCATTCTCATTTGTTTCACTATGCACCATTATCATTTGATCCTATGTATACACACACACACACACTCGGTATATACTCCCTCCGTCCCTGAAAAACCTTTCTCCTTTCTTTTTTCATCTGTCCCAAAAAACACTTCTCATTTCTATTAAAAAGTCACTTTTACCCCTTACTTTTTCATACTCTACCTATCACATCATACATTTTCACTATCCATCAAATCATACTTTTACCCATCATATCAAAGGACATTTTTGGAAATTCAATACCAAAATACATTTCCCTTAAATCTCTATTCTAAAACCAAAACTCCCATGTTTTCCGGGACGGAGGGAGTATGTTTTATACATTTTATATGAATTTTTCCATATTTTCTTAAATTGATAAATACTTCTTCCCTCATTCTAATTTGAATTTTTCATGAAATTTTATAAAAGTAAAATTTTATATAAAAAGACCAGAGGAAAATAACAATACTCCCTTTGAACGAACGAACTACAGATTATTCTTTAATTAAAAAGAATGGAATTAAAACATGCTTTATTTTTGTGTTAGTTGTTGGTTTCTTAATTAGATGGTATCATAATATTATTCGTTAAGAGGTTACGAATTCAAATCTTAACGTCACGCATTTTAAAATGCATGCATATGTTATTGGTTACATGCATATATAGATGACAAAGTGGAGGACAAAGAAGGAATAGCAGGCGTGGATAGACACATACACATTGTTGGTAGAAAAGGAGGAAAATCTTCTTCATATCGTGGTGGTTATGTTCCTCACAGCGGTGGTTCTATTCCTAGTGAAAATATAATTCTTGGTGGTTTACTCTCTTTGTTATTATTGTTCCAGTTTCATTTCTTTTAATTTTCCTTTAATAATTTCTTTTATAAGTTGTTATTGTCACATTTAATATAATAAATAATACTACGCTTTACTTATGTAATTGTACTCCGTAATTAAACTCCGCTGTATATATACAAGCTTTTGTGTTAATAATAAAAGCTTTTGTTTATTATTTGTAATCCATTTGGATTTTGGAAAGATGGGTAATGTTATTTGTACCCCGCCCCATTTTGTACACCACAGCGATGCACTAACATTTTGTGTAAGTATAATGTTAATTTTTGTTAATGCACCAACACTTTGTGTTAGTGTAAATTTTTGTTAACGCACCAACACTTTGTGCCAGTGTGAACCATCAAAATGTTGGTGCATACCTTTGGTGTACAAATTGGGTATAAATTTTGGTGTACCCCTGGAAATACATATACTTCCAACTACAATAGACATCAAAATGGATTTCTAAGAGCGCAGCAAATACATGTGCATCACTTATACGCCAAGTCTATCATAGATACTAAAGAAAGTGTATTCGATTCGGATTTTAAAACATTTGAAAGATTGTTTAGAATCTATGGATTATGTAAAATCCATGGATTGTTTTAAAGTTATGCAGTGTTAGAGTACTATCCACTTATTTGTTTTGTTTATGGTCACAAATTTGTCCCAATTACTATACATTGTTAAAAGATTCAAGCCTAGGAGATTCCACCTTTTCTGCAAATTACATTGTTCATAGCTTATATTTGTGGCACGAAAAATGTTCCCCAACTAATATTGGCAAAGATATGTAAGCCACAAACAAAAAAAAAAGGATGAGAGGAATTTGCGGTCAATCATTAGGTCTCACAACATCATCAAATGCACCCAATATAAATAGGAGGCATCTCTTACATTCCCAAATCGTAACACTAACAACAAGAGAAGGATCAATAAGAGAAACTAAAGAGAAAGACAACAATGGCAAAGGCTTTTGCACTCATCTCCGCCTTTTGCTTCTTGGCGGCCGTTGCCAACGCCGCCAGCGAATCCTTCACCGTTAACGGCAACGTATACTGTGACCCTTGCCGCGTCAAATTCAAGACCAGGATTAGCGAAAACGTTCCAAGTAAGTGATCGACATTTCACTTTTAATACCACACATTTTAGAGTATTTGATCACTAACACAATTTGGCACGAACGCAGATGCGGTGGTGCGGCTGGAATGCAGAAACATGACAACGGATGCCGTGACGTACTCAAAGGAGGCAACCACGGGCGAGAACGGGTTCTACACTATAGACGTGGAGGGGGAATTCGGCGACGACATCTGCGACGTGACAGCGCTGAAGAGCTCTCGGGAGGACTGCAAGGACACGCGTGGTCGGGTGGACAAGTCACAAATTGTTATCAGCAACAATGCCGGAATGCACAACACCGTCAGATACGCAAACCCGTTGTTCTTCACAACGGAAAAGGCTTCCCCACAATGCCCCCAAGTGCTCAAGGAGATAGATTATGTTCCTATCGATAAAATAATGTGATCATGTTATAATTAATATGATCATAACTCAGCCTTTGCCCCTGATTAGTTAATGTCAGTTGTATTGTGTTGCTCTAACCCTTATTTAATTCTCTTGCATATCAATCATGTCATTGTTACCAAAAAAATAATAAAGTTCAAATTAATGAATAATGAAACATCTCCTTGGTGTTCCAACTTTGCCTGTACGTATTATATAATCCGTAAAGACTATTAGATTCAGCAAGTTTTTGCAAGTAAATATCTCAAATGACACTATTTTAGCAAGGTTTTGAAAGTAATTTTAGCAAGGTTTTGAAAGTAAAATGTCTCATATCTCATACACCACGGAATATTTAATCCTTTGGGGAGAAAAAAATGAACAATTAAAGGATACTTACAGGAAAATTGAACCAAGTTTACAAAGTCTTTTTTTAGAACAGCAGTGCATGCACAAAAGCTTGCAAGGCAACAAAAACAATACTATTTGTAACTTAAGCCTTTGCTTTGCTACTTCAAAGGTTTAAGCCCAAGAGATGCCCTTATTCGATTGGCTTCGGCAATCTCGGGATCTGGATGGTCGGTTCCATCCTCTTTCTTCTCCTTCTTCTCTTTCTTTTTCTTGGGTTCGTCTGCGGTGGGGCTCACACTGCTGCGGGCATGCCTCTTCCGGCGTTCATCATCACGCTCTTTGCGGTCTTGGCTTCTAGAACGGCTTCTTCTACGACCACGATCACGTCTACTGTCCCTTTCCCTTTCCCGGTCCCGGTCCCGCTCACGGCCATAGTCTTTGTCTTCTCTCAACCGATGGCGTTCCCTTTCCCTGTCCCTGTCCCTGTCACGTCCTCTTCCCCGGTCCCTATCATAGTCACGATCCCTGTCATAATCTCTATCATAATCTCGTTCTCTTTCGTAGTCACGGTCCCTGTGCAAAGAGCAAAAGAGTAAATGAGACCATTTGGGGCTCACTGTCATAAGTACAAGAGTTTATTACCACAAATCAAGTCCATCAAGGTTTTCAACAACCCTTGTAATTCGAGAAAATTTAACCATCAAGGTTTCCACAAATTGAATGCATTTCATAAACTGAAATATTTAAACACTTTTCGGTCAAAATTAGCATTTCATGTAAATATTGAGTACTGTAGTCTGAAAAAACTTGATTACAGCTACTATCATCATATGTCATTCCTACAAATATCATTATATGACTTCATCTTCCAGTGTCATTTGCATAAACTCAGGGGATGTGCAAGCAATTAAAACAAACAATTGTTTTTTATTACGTGCCCTAAGGACACATATTAAGAAATCAGAAATCAAGACTTTTCATTAAGAATTGTATGGTTAAACTTGCAAATATTTTCACAAATGATTTCCAATGAATTTTTATCACTTGCTTCTTAACATGTACCCTTGGGGCACATAATATAAAAAATGAACTATAAATTGGCAACAAAAGGTTAAAAGAGTGCAAAAGCATTGCATGGTGTACTATGCTTAACTTTATAAATTTAACAACCTAGGACATGTGTGATCTATCATACTTCTCACTGCCCACTGCCAGGGCAGAGAAACCTGGCAAGATCAAAACACTTTATTCTCGGAAGTCTTTCTAAACCACCAATAGCATCAAATACTATGATGGCTGTAATACGTGAATGTGTGTGCAAAACATGGTGTCCTTCAAGAGACAACTTCCGCCAGACACAAAAGACCAAATGCAAAAAAATGTAAAATTTGTTGCTTCCTTTGTACAAAAAAAATAATCATGGTTCAAAAGCTTTTGTGGTTTTATACATAGGAGTCCCGCTAACTTTCATGTTAGTTACTAATAATTTGCCAAAAAAGGATTTAAAACAAGAAAAAAATGGCATAGTTTAGTTGAGCAAAATTATCTGATAGATCTTTAATACGAAGTGTGATTTTAGTGACTCATAGCTGGCGTGCTTTGCCAATATTAAAAGGTTGCACACATTCACGGAATACAAAGAAAGTCTTTCTTGGAATGTAGCATTTCATTTGATCCTTGATAAATGCAAAACAAAACATATAGATAAATGAAAAGCACCTGTGCCGGTAACTATCCCTATCTCGTCTCCTGTCCCTATCTCTCTCCCTTGAAGGACTGTGTCCATGATAATAATCCTGCATCCAAAGTGAGGTCCAGAGAAGAGAATGTAAAATTACATCTAAGTGGAATGAGATATGCAAAAAATAGAAAAATACAAACCTTGTCGTGCTCATCATCTAAACCAGTAGTTAACTGTTCCTCCTCATCCTTTTCTTCCTCCTCTTCAAAGTCATCCTCCAAAGCACTTCTACGGGGTTCCAGTTGACTAAGAGATTCAAGGGTCCATCTGAGTGACAAATGATATTGCGTGAGATAATGACAAGCAAAACTAAGTCAGTTGAAGAAGCATTCAAGAAAACACTATGCGTATAGATTCAAAGCTAATATAGGGAAAACATTTTAGACTACAAATAGCATGCCTAAAATGACTGTACAGCTAAATTGTTCTCATTTACTAGTTTTAACTATACGATGATCGAGCTGGTTACACAGTAAAGAAGGTGAACACAGATGGTATTCCCAACTTTAGTGTAAGTATAGATTGAAATCTAGGATATCAATAGACAAGTAAACAGCTCCCTGGTCAAAGAAATGCATCCAATCTGTTCAGCTACTTCTTTTTCATCAAAAGGTGTGATAATTAAGCATAAGAGTATGTTTTCTGAAGAAACCTAAAGCCCATGGCTAAATGATCCAACTTTCATTATCCTCTAGAATCACCAAACTATGCCTATAATGAATGAATATAGAATGATGGAACACAACCTTTAGGATCTTAAATCTAAAATTTAAATAAGAAAACAGACAGTAACATACCTTTTCTTAATCCTAGGAAGTGCAATATCACAAGAGTAATCTTTAGTCAGCAGCTCGTCGATAAACTCATCCACATGACTTAAAGTAAACTCTGCGACGATCAAACAAAGATGCAAATCAAATCAAAACCAACCAATCAAAGACAAGCTTAGAGATCACAAAAAAACATGTGGAAGGAAAGATAACCTACTTCCATCAGCTGATCTGAGCCTCAGCTTACGATAATCGTTGTAGAGGGGCTCAAGGTAGCGATAGATGTCCACATCGGTTCCGGTGAGACGCAAGTAAAAAGCGCCGAGGACACGAACGTACTTGTAATCCTCGTTCTTAATGAATTCGACAACAATGTCCTTCTCCGGCTGGATCTGGAGCATCTTCATGACGAGGCACATGAACGGGACGGGCTTACGGTTGCCGCCGAAGGTCCCGCCGACGTGATTGAGCTCCATTGCCTTGTCCACCAGCGTCTCTGCCGTCAGACCGAAGCATTCCCCTTTCCAGTAAGTGTTCTGATAAATCTTAGCGCGCAATATCTTCTCCACCAGATTCTGCGGATTCGTCCCGTGGATGTTCTTCGCCGTCGGGTCCGTACGGTTCGCCATCTTCGGGTATCACCCAAACCCTAACCCTCTCAGAACCAGCCGAGAACCGTCGTGAGCACTGAGCGGTGACTATAAAGTTTGGTGTTTTAGATATGATATGCACTATACGCCGTCGTTCTTGTAGTTGGCGATTTTGGCAACTGGGCCTTGTGACAGTTATGCCCTTCACTACTTTTTAATACTCCATATGCAAGGGTGAATTCGTTTCTCTTATATTAATGACAAATATAGCTAAATAAGATGTGAATTTACCTATACGTCCCATTTGGTACATGGAATTCAAACTATGGAATTGGAACTGAGGATTTCAATTCCAATTTTGGTGTTTGATAGTACAAAAATTATGTGGATTTGGAATTGAAAGTGCAAAAAATGAATTGAAATTGACAGAATTCAATTCTATAGAATTGGATCTCATTAAATTTCAATTCCAATTTAATTCCAATTCCACCAATTCCTTATACCAAACGGACCCATAGTGTTTTTTATCAAGAAATCTTTTAAATAGGAGTAAAACGTTGCTCTTGTCCCCAAAGTAGGAGCAACATTTTTTTACGAGAAAAAAAAAACTTAAGTACAACTAAAACATTGAAAATAAGAAGTTTTATATTTTATTTTCAAAATAGATTAAAATGCATATACAGTGTTGATCATGACTATATACATTACCAAAGGTATTGTAAAATGTCAATATACAGTATTACATTACCATAGTGTGAACTCCTATTTTGAAAATAAAAATATGGAGCTCTATTTTTAATATTTTCGCTATGTTTTAGACTTATTTAGGGTGATTTCTCTATTTTTATCTCCAAAATAGGAATTTACACTATAACAATGTGACATTGCATTTTGATATTATATATAGACATTATTGGCATTATAAATCTTATTTTGAGAATAAAAATGCAAAACTTCCATTTTGATACCCTATCTATGTTTTACTCTTTATTTAGTCTATTCCCCTATTTTATCTTTGATAAGGTTATGATGTCATTGGATTACGGTGATACTACGATATCACTGTCGTTTTGGAGCCCCTAATGTTTCGCTCACAAAATAGATGATTCCTACCCCCCTTGCCCTCCCCCTCCCCCTCTTGATCGCCAAATGGCTACTGATGGTGTAAATTATTTGACCGGTCAAACTATACTAGACCGGGTCTATAATAGTTTGTTTGATTTGATAAAGTAAGAAGGATAAAAACACGCAGAGTGGCCGATGGGACTTTAGGTGGAACACCTGTAGCCCAATTTAACTTATAACAGAGAATGCATGAGAGCTTTTACAAGGGAGTTTAGAGAGAAGGAATTCGGATCCCTACTTCTGAGAGTTACAGCCATATTTATACTAGGTTCGGGGGACAGGACCACGTGGGGACACGCTGCTGGTGTGGTGCGAGGTGACTGGTTTCGTCCTTGAGCTGCCCTGCCGCTAGGGGTGGACACGGTACCGGTACGGTACCGTCACCGGCAACGGTACCGCCGGTACCCGCCACCGTCACCGTCGTCGTCGCCGTGTCACCGGTTCCGGGAACCGGTACCGGTACCGCCCATTTCGGTACCGGTTCCGGTACCCATTTTTTGGTACCGGCAGTACCGGTCCGGTTTCGGTACCGGTTAATTTTTTTTTTTTGTTCATTTCAAAATTCAAATCCTGCAAAAAGTTAAAAAAAAAAAGTGGGGGGCACACCTCAAACGACTATTTAGCCGTTGTGGTGGGGGAGGGGAAGAGGGGAGGGGGGGAGGATCTATCTATAAATTCTCACATTTTTTACATAAAAAATCACTCAATTTCTCAATCCATCTCTCATTCTCTCAATTTATCAATCTCTCAATCTTATTATCTCTATTTAATTTTTATACATTTAATATTCATATAATAATATAAAAATTTTATATATTAAAATTTTGAAATTTTCAAAATTTTAATATATAAAATTTCGAAATTTTTTCAAATTTTTCAAAATTTTAAATATTATTAATTTTTAAATATATTCTTTAATCTTTAAATAATTTAAATGTATTCTTTATTTTTTGAAATTTTCGAAATTTTAATATATAAAATTTCGAAATTTTTTTAATTTTTCCAAAAGTAATATAATATTTTAATATCAAAAAAATATATATTAAAATGTCGAGGGAGTCCAGTAGACGGTCCGTGGATATGGGCGACGTCAACCGAAGATTGAGTAAATGCAAAGCTAAAGCCACCTCCGACGGTTCGACCTCACGCGGACACGGTTCTCGAGGAAGACACTCCGTCTCTTCGTTTTCTACTGTCCTAGATCATTTAATCGGGGACGCTATGACGGATGAAGAATTCAACCAGATTTATTCTGGTAGAGGAGACGCGAATCTCCCCACTCTTGATAGTCTATTCGAGGACGTTGATGAAGCAGGACTGGATAATCTTGACGGGGACGATGAGCCTACACCGCAAAGCAACGACGTCGACGTGGAGGCAGGTGAGCCCGAGACCTCTCGAGGTCCGGACAAAGGTAAAAAAATATAAATCAGAATTATTTGTTTATCATTTTGACAAAGACACAAAAGATGGCATAGTTTATGGAACTTGTAAACATTGCGGGACCGTCATAAAAATGGGAGTTTCCAGCGGTTATGGCGGTCCGGAAAAACACCTAAGGTCGAGGCATCCCGTGGAGTACGCCAAATACGAGGCCAAAAAAAAGGGACGACAAGAAGTGCAAACCCAAATTTCTCAGTTTGCTAACAAAGGTAAGGGCGGCCTTTTTGCTTATAGCGACGAGCAAAATAGGCAAAAAATGGCCGAAATGATTTGTGAAGAAAATTTGCCATACATGTTTTCTGAAAAACTTGGTTTTATTGATTATTGTCAAATGCATTAAACCCTCAAGCACGAGGTTTTTCAAGAAAAACAATTAAACGAGAAATTATTCGCCAGTATAAAATGGAAAAAATTAATTTGGCAAATTTTGTTCTCAATTTTAATTGTCGTGTTGCTATTTGTTCTGATATTTGGGGTGAAACTTATCATAATTTGTCTTATATGGGTGTTACTTGTCATTGGATAGATAGTGATTGGATTATGCATAAACGTGTTCTTGCATTTCGTGATTTCAATGATCAGCATACTGCTGAAAATATTTTCCTATTGCTTCAGAGTATTCTGCGGGAATATAACTTATCTGAAAAAGTTTTTTCATTTGGTTTTGATAATGCTACTAATAATACTGCTGCTATTCCTAGACTTAGAGAAATCTGCCCACCGTCTACGACTATGGGTAGATTTCTGCATCAACGGTGTGCCTGTCATGTTTTAAATTTATGTGTTCAACAGGGACTACAAGCTATGGGCGGAGTTTTGACAAATATTAAAGAAGGAATTAAAAAAATTTGGGGGGCTCGTCTTATTTCGAGATCCTGGAAGATGTTCTGTAAGTCTAAGGGTAAAAAAAATAAGTTTTGCCAGAGATATCAACATTAGATGGAATAGTACTTACAAATTGATTGCACAGATCCTAAGATATAAAGAGGAACTTGCTGAATTTTTTAGGGATGAACTTCGTATAATCATTAATCCTTTTGAATTTGTTATTGTTGAAAAATTGAATGCCGTATTAGAAGTTTTTAATAACGCAACTCTTACTTTTTCCCATGTTTACCAACCAACTACAAATACATTTTTTAAAGAATGCATTACAATCGCAACATGTTTTCGTGAAAGTATGGCTGATCCAGATTTGTACCCTTATGTCTCTCCTATGATAGATAAATGGTGTACTTATTATGTAACACCCTAATCCGTCCAGGTCTGCAGCCCCATTCGGACTAAAGTATTTAACTTGGAAATCGTAAAATTTAAAACTTTTCAAACACACTTTATAAATCTCAATAATATTTTTCATAACATATACAGTACGGAGTATTTAACAATATTGCGGAAGCGAATTTAATATTGACATATCATAAATTATTTCAAAACTTGTCACATCCATCCTAACAATCTCGCCCCATCTGCCGCCAGGATCACATTAATCTTTCTGTTTATGATACGATCCCGTATCGGTAGCGGAAGGCTTAGAGCGCCTCCGAGCTCGTAGGGCAGAAGGGAAGGAGAGACGAGGGAAGAGCGCAGCGGCAGAGCCGTGCGATAGAGAGAGAAATAGGGTTTAGGGAGAGAGAAAAGTAGGGTTTAGGGTTTATTGTATTCCTCCCGTAATTGTAGAGAATACATGTCTATTTAAAGAGATACCCCAATACCTAAAACTACGTTTTCTATCCTGACGGTTCAAAGAAAAGCGACGAGGTAAAGAACCGTAAAGAAACCCTCGAAGGAGCTTATAAATTGCTCACCTAGGAAAATCTAAATTACATTAATTAAATAAAGTTTAATGCATCTCAAAATCCTTTTGCCACCCTGGGGCACGCCTACGCCGCGTACCCGTCCTTCGCTCGTCGAGTGATGGCAAACCCTCCCTCGTCGAGCTGTCCGTATCACTCTCCCTTCCTTCAGAAACCACCTTGTCCTCAAGGTGTAAATGTGGATAATGTTCCCAGATGAGGGCAGCTGGCTCCCAGGTTGCATCATCCAACGTGCTATCGCTCCACGAAACCAAGTATTGTTCCTCCCGAACCCCATGTCGTAGCACCCAATGGGTGGCGTGAATCTGCACTGGTTGGGACGGCGGTCGGCCATCCACCAAGTCGTCGGGTAGGGGAAGCACGTTGGCTTGGGCCTCCTGACCAAGAAATGGGCGCAGTACCGAGACATGGAAAACCGGGTGAATACGTGCACTGGCCGGTAATTTCAGGCGATAGGCCACCGGGCCTACCCGCTCGAGAACTTCAAATGGTCCGTAGAAGCGCAAGGACAACTTCTAGGAGGACCGTCGGGCAACAGAATGCTGCCGATAGGGTTGCAGCTTTAACAAAACCAAGTCGCCGACCTGAAACTCCACCTCTCGTCGTTGACGATCCGCCTGCAGCTTCATTCGGTTCTGGGCTGTCTGTAAATTATCCCGAAGACGTCGCAATAGAGCAACTCGTTCGGCCAAGATATCATCAACGGCCTGCACTTTACTTGCTCCTCGAGTATATGGCACGAGATTCGGGGGAGGGCGGCCATAAAGAGCCTGGAAGGGTGTCACCTGTAGCCCACTATGAACACTTGTATTGATGGAGTATTCCGCCCATGGTAGAAGGACTGTCCAGCGCTTGGGTCTCTCATGGACAAACATCCGTAGATATTGTTCCAAGGTGCGGTTGAGAACCTCGGTTTGGCCGTCTGTTTGCGGGTGGAACGCGGTGCTGTGTTTCAACGTAGTACCACTTAAGGAATGCAGCTCTTTCCAGAAAGTACTGAGAAAGATCCGATCACGATCCGAAATTATAGAACGGGGAAACCCATGCAACTTGATGACCATGTCGGTGAATAAATAGGCAGTGCGGTGGGCGTCGAAGTCACCCGGTAAGGGGCCGAAATGGACATACTTAGTGAGCCGATCAACCACGACCAAAACCACCGATGATCCCCGCGATAGTGGCAGCCCTGTAACAAAGTCCATGGTAATATCCTCCCAAACCTGATTAGGAATAGGCAGTGCCTGTAGGAGACCCCCCGGAGGTTGAGTGGAGTATTTAGCGCGTTGACAAGTGGGGCAGCCCTGGACGTAATCCCGCACATCGGCGCGCATGCGTGACCAATGGAATGTCTGTGCTAATCGCAGAAAGGTGCGGTGAATGCCAGTGTGACCCCCGATGTGTGAATCATGGTATTCCTTCAACAATTCCCGTCGTAACGTCGAGTGTGCACCAATGCAGAGTCTCGTGTTATAGAGAAGCAAGCCATCCACCACAGTGAAAGGAGGCGGCAGTACTCCTTGCCTGTGTAGGGCATGCATGCGTGACAGGTCCTGTTGGGTTGTGTTTTCTTCCCGAATGCGTCGCATGATTGCCGGGAGCGGTTGGGTGAGGGCCAGAAATGCAGCCGCAGTGTCGTCATCCCCCCGACGCGATAATGCGTCCGCCACTGTATTCGTCCGGCCCGGCTTGTATTCAATTTGAAAACGGAATCCCAAAAGCTTCCGGACATAAAACTGTTGGTCCGGTGTTTGAACCACTTGTTGCAATAACTCCTTCAAGCTCCGCTGGTCCGTTCGTATCAAAAACTCCCTGCCCAACAGGTATTGTCGCCATTTGTGGACGGCTGCGACAATTGCATATAATTCTTTGTGGTATGTTGAAGCCGCCAACCGCCGCGGTCCCAGTTTTTTGCTGAAATAAGCTATTGGCTGCTCTTCCTAGAGTAATACGGCACCAATACCCACGGCAGATGCGTCGGTGTCGACCACAAAACGGAGAGAAAAATCGGGTAGCCGGAGAATTGGTGCGGTGGAAAGAGCTTGCTTCAGAGCATGGAAGGCTTGGGTTGCCGCCGGTGTCCAGGTGAACGAGTCCTTCTTCAAAAGATCTGTGAGAGGGGCGGCCAGGTGGGCGTAATGATGAATAAACCGCCGGTAGTACCCGGTCAGACCCAAAAAACCTCGTAGTTGACGAACACTGGTCGACAATGGCCACTCCACCATGGCGGTGATCTTGGAACGGTCCGCCTGTAGCTGCCCTTTGCAAATAATATGGCCCAAATATTCAATCGACGTGGTACCAAAAGAGCACTTCGAAAGTTTGACACAAAACACATGAGAACCCAATAGATTAAGTACCACCTCTAGATGACGCGCATGGTCTTGCAAGGACGGACTATATATCAAAATATCATCGAAAAAAACGATGACAAAACGTCGAAGATATGCCGCAAACAAACGATTCATACACGCTTGGAATGTAGACGGGGCGTTCGTTAACCCAAATGGCATGACCCGAAATTCATAATGGCCCTCATGAGTACGGAAAGCCGTCTTGTAGATATCTCTGTCATGCATACGTATCTGATGATACCCCGAACGCAAATCTAGCTTGGTAAAATATCTAGCAGCCCCCAATTCATCAAAGAGTTCGTCGGCCGTAGGGATTGGGAAGTGATCTGGAACGGTGACAGCGTTAAGGACGCGGTAGTCCACACAGAAGCGGTAGGTGCCATCCTTCTTTTTAACCAAAAGCACCGGAGATGAGAACGGACTACGACTGGGTTGGATCAAACCCTGATCGAGCATCTCGCGAACCAACCGCTCAATCTCGTTCTTTTGGAACTGGGGATAACGATACGGCCTCACGTTGACGGGTTTGACACCTTGCTGCAAAAATATCCGGTGATCATGAAGGCGTCGCGGGGGTAACCCGGAGGGCTGGGCAAACACGGCCCCATGCTGCTGCAACACTGCCAAAATCTCCGGGGGTAAATCCGCTGGAAAGCAAGTGGCCTGCTCTAAGGAGTCCCCGGGCTGAGGCGTCACCATGATTTCATAACATTCGGCGATGCCCTGACCAGCATTCAAGGTGTAGAAATTATGGAGCGATAACGGCCGCGGCGACAAACTATCCCCCTGGAGTGTAACCGGCCTGCCCTGCCAAACAAAATCCATAGTCAATTTATCATAGTCATGGGTAACCTTACCAAGGAGGCGTAGCCACTGAACCCCCAAGACCATATTCGGCCCGTGAATCGGAAGCACAAAGACGTCCACTGTAAAACAGAAACCCTGCAATAGTATATCGATGTTACAGCACTGATGAGTGCACACCAATGACGCGTCGTTGCCAACGTACACCCGGAATGGAGCAACCTCCCGGACGGACAGGCGCAACTTCTCCACAATTGAAGGCTGGATAAAATTATGGGTGCTCCCACTGTCAATCAACACATCCACCACGACCTCCGAAAGCATGCCGGACAACCGTAGGGACCGTGGAGCAGACACTCCGGCGAGGCTATGGAGGGAAGACACGTCTGCCGAAATCACCGTGTCATCGGCCGGGGGAGGGGCGCTGTCCTCTGTGTCTTCCTCATCCTCGAGCAATAATAAAAACCGACCACAACGATGGCCTTTGACCCATTTCTCATCACAGTTATAGCATAATCCTTTAGCGTCCCGCTCTTTTTTTCTGCAAAAGAGAGCCGTCGAATAGGAGGGTTGGGGGAAACCTGCGGGCTGGGTACAGGCTTCGAACCAGGCGTGGGCAGGAGAGGTGCCTGCGATGGACCCCCAGATGGCTTGGCTGCGCCAGACTCCCGAAATGGGACTGGACGGTGGGACAAAGTAGCGGTCCACGCTTGATGTTTCAACTCGAATTCCCGAGCCAGAGCGAAAGATGCGGAAAGAGAATCCGGCTTATGCAGCATCACGTCATGTTGTAAGTGAGGCTTCAACCCGGCATGGAATAAGGATTGAAGATGGGCCTCATCGACGTTGGTAACGTTCACCAGAACCTTCTCGAAAGCCTCTTGATATGCCAAAACCGACCCCATCTGTTGAACCTTTGACAATACCCCCAAAAAATCAACATAATTGAGAGGGTCAAACCTCAACATGAATTTCGTAACAAAATCCGGCCAAGAGGATAAGGAATGATTGCGCTGACGCCAACGGAACCAATCCAAGGCGGCGCCTTCGAGCATCAGAGAAACTGCCGGGAGACGTAATTCGTCGGCCACCCCGTAGAAGGTAAAATACTCGTGAGCTTTGAACAACCACCCAATCGGATCTGTCCCATTCGTCTTAGGCATATCCAACTTGAGTTTGGACATGACGGAACCTTGATCATGGTGACGGAGACCTGAGGAACTGGGAGGCGACTTGTCAACGCGTGCGGAAACCGTCTCCACCTGCCTCTGAAGCTTTTCCACAGTTTGGGTTAGGGTTTGCATGGCTGATGTTTAGGAGAGAAGTTGGCGATCGAACTGTTCTTGAAATTCCCGCAGCACTGCCTCGGGCACATCTTTGGACGCCATAAAAGAGATCAACAAGAGCACAATGATACGATCCCGTATCGGTAGCGGAAGGCTTAGAGCGCCTCCGAGCTCGTAGGGCAGAAGGGAAGGAGAGACGAGGGAAGAGCGCAGCGGCAGAGCCGTGCGATAGAGAGAGAAATAGGGTTTAGGGAGAGAGAAAAGTAGGGTTTAGGGTTTATTGTATTCCTCCCGTAATTGTAGAGAATACATGTCTATTTAAAGAGATACCCCAATACCTAAAACTACGTTTTCTATCCTGACGGTTCAAAGAAAAGCGACGAGGTAAAGAACCGTAAAGAAACCCTCGAAGGAGCTTATAAATTGCTCACCTAGGAAAATCTAAATTACATTAATTAAATAAAGTTTAATGCATCTCAAAATCCTTTTGCCACCCTGGGGCACGCCTACGCCGCGTACCCGTCCTTCGCTCGTCGAGTGATGGCAAACCCTCCCTCGTCGAGCCGTCCGTATCAGTTTACCTGCGTGTAGCAAATAAAACACACTACACGCTCAGCGGTGAAGCTGAGTAAGCATATCTAAAGCGTCGAACATCCAAATAAATTGAATCTCAATTCATAATCAACCATTTGATATCATGCACACAATATATGATTCAAACATTCATGATATTCTCAATATTATATTCCAAGTCATTGGACATTCAATATCTCAACCATGCTCTTAAATTATTCTTAATCTAAGGCCAAATCATTTTATAACAAGCTCTTAGTTATTCCTAGTCTAAGGCAACATTTCTAACTAGGCCCTTAAACTATAAATAGTTTAATGCAGAACACAAGAATCGATAATCCACCCTATGAGTCATGTGGATTACGTACCAACCGAACAATGATTTGTCGGGTGGGTGATATCCGGTCTGGATCCTGTACGTACGTTTTAACCCCGAAATATGAATTGGTCAAGGAGGTATATCTTAGAGTTCTTCTAGATATCCTTAATAATCATCATCATTATACAAGTGGGTATATCTTTAGAGTTCTTCTAGATATCCTTAACAACATTATTCATCGATTCATATTCTTAGTTCAACAATCATTTAATAATCCATAATATTCATCAAATGAACAATCTAATAACAATCAGCGGCCTAGCATCGAGTGTTAACACCCTAGCTTACCGTCATGCATCACATAAGATCCCTTTTAGTTGTTAAAACACCATCTTTATTCCAAGAAATCATCCTTTTATTAATCATAATGGTTTGGTATCAAAATATAGGATTCCATAACTCAAAAATCATGTTTTCTAAATAAAAATTGATTAACATATGATAGGAAATTCAATTATTAGCTATTAGCTTCATTTTCTTCAATAGTGTAGGGAGACAGTCTACTGTCACTTCTGATAATCTACTGTCTGATGTTCAGAATGGGCTGATAATCGATTATCACACTCTGATAATCGATTATCAAACTTCAGAGAGGGCTGACAGTCGATTATCACATTCTGATAATCGACTGTTGCTCAGCTTTGTTACAAAAATCTGCAGAACGATGAATAATCGATTTTCAAGTTGATAATCGATTATCCATCGTCTTCTACCTCGAGCCAACTTGCGGAAATGTCACTTTTACTCACCAAACTTCAATTAAAGTATATAAAAATGTTCTCCAAGGTTCATGGATCATTTTAGCATCATTAATTCATAATTTTAACATCAATTTCATGGTTTATGATTCTTAGTTCTTCAAGCATGTCAAACACAAAACTCAACCAAATGACCATTTATGAACGTAGAANCATTCTAGTCATTAGATATATCTAGGGGCTTACCTCGAAGCTTAATGGAGGTTTTGGAAATTTTCCGGCGAAACTTCCGGCGAGTATTTCTCCCAACTCCAGCGACTTCACACCAAATTGACAGCACCACAACACTCCTCACACTTTCATGAACATTTAGGAAGAAGAATGAAGAAGAATGGTGAAGAAATGAGAAGGTTGGATTTTTCTTATATAATGAGAAGGAGAGAAGAAGAAGGTGACTCTGCGATCGGCGTAGTGGGGAAGGAGGCGCCGTCTAAACAGTTCCCTGATTGGGACCTATTTTGGTTTCAGTCGGGGTACACTTTTTGGTTCAACTTTCTCCAAATTGAAATCCGTTTGCACCGTTGCGATCAGACAGTCGAGCTCTATCCAACGATATACTTTTCATAATTATTTGTAATACTTTTTCCGACATCATATTTTTGGGTGTTTGACTTTAACAAAGTCAAAATTGGTATAATTGACCTTTCTCATAAAAGGTTCTCTTATTTAATTCATATCAATTATTCTCATGATTTATTTCAATAAATCATTACAAAGTTCACATCATAATTAATTAATTAATTTATTCTTGATTTGGGTCTGCACTCAGGTTCCCTATCAAGACCACACAAATAGTCCACATATTGGATTTATCTCGATTAGACTTATCAAGATTTTGAAATTGGATATTAAAAAATATTTCATATCGGCCCAAAGCACAATAATAATCAAAACAAATTTGTTTAATCGAATAATTATTTAATAATAATTCTAGGGTATGTTTCGGGGCGTTACATTATTTGTACATTCCTGATATTTATAAAATAGGTATTATTTTTGATCCACGATTTAAGATTGAAAATTTTAAAATTCTAATTGAGTATTACTACAGTTTTTTTTTAGATAAAAATAATTATTACTACAGCTATTTAGTAGAATGGAAAAATGAAAGAGATAATGCTATAACTCTTTTTGAGGATTTGTTTAAGGAATATCAAGGGTTATACGGTACTGTACAAGAAGAAACAGCACCACCTCCGCCCCCGAAATCAAAAAAGGTTTTGCTGGCATAGTCGGTGGCCTTCTTGCAAAGAAAGGGAAACGTGCCCAGTCTTCGACGAGTTCAAGTGGTACAACAGTAAGCTCGCACAACAAACTTGCTATGTACCAGGGTGTGCCATGCGATTACGATGACGACGATGTCGATTTTGACGTGCTCGGATGGTGGAAGCGGAACGAACACATGTTCCCATGTCTCGACATGCTAGCAAGACAAGTGTTGTCCGTCCCAGTATCAACCGTAGCAGTTGAACGAGAATTCAGTGATGGCGGCAACATTCTAACCGACTACCGAAGTTGTCTTAACGCTGAATCTCTTGAAACACTGGTTTGCAACCAAGATTGGCTCTTGGCAAGACGTCGGGCTCAAGAGTCATCGTACCAACTCGAATCGGAGCATTACATGAATGCAACCACAGATGGAAGTTCGAGTTCTGAAGAATAAGTTATAAATTTTTTTTATGTTAATGTAAATATGTAATTAATTTTTTTAGGGGAGCGATATATAAGCTCCTTCGAGGGTTTCTTTACGGTTCTTTACCTCGTCGCTTTTTTTGAACCGTCAGGATATTAAATGTGGTTGTTCTTCAGTTAGTGTATTACTCATTTTCAATATTTAAATAACAACTACATTTTTAGATTTTTTATTTCATTCTTTCCTTAAACAATTGCAAATTTACAATTTTATACTTTAAAAATTTNCAGTATCAACCGTAGCAGTTGAACGAGAATTCAGTGCTGGCGGCAACATTCTAACCGACTACCGAAGTTGTCTTAACGCTGAATCTCTTGAAACACTGGTTTGCAACCAAGATTGGCTCTTGGCAAGACGTCGGGCTCAAGAGTCATCGTACCAACTCGAATCGGAGCATTACATGAATGCAACCACAGATGGAAGTCCGAGTTCTGAAGAATAAGTTATAAATTTTTTTTATGTTAATGTAAATATGTAATTAATTTTTTTAGGTGAGCGATATATAAGCTCCTTCGAGGGTTTCTTTACGGTTCTTTACCTCGTCGCTTTTTTTGAACCGTCAGGATATTAAATGTGGTTGTTCTTCAGTTAGTGTATTACTCATTTTCAATATTTAAATAACAACTACATTTTTAGATTTTTTATTTCATTCTTTCCTTAAACAATTGCAAATTTACAATTTTATACTTTAAAAATTTAAAAAAAAAATAGGGGGGGGGGGGCAAACCCGGCAGGCACGGTATCGACTCCGGTTACATGGGGTGGCGGTACCGGAACCGTCCCGGAACCGTACCGTGTCCACCCCTACCTGTCGCCTTGCGAGGGGAATTATTCCCTTTGTCAAGTAGTGCCTTGGATGGATTACTCAAGCATCTCCAGCAATCCTTCACTGACACGGGTCGCTACAGTCCAAGCCCTTTTAGATTCTCTCTGCCGACGCTTTCTAACTCTAAAAACTACACCGGTTAGTTTCCCAAAGGTTAGTTTACCACATTTGAGGGATGAATGAAGCCATGTAGTAGTTTGACCGGTATACTTTTCTGAAGTATACTGGTCACCTTTTAACCGATCGGGTGTCCTCCGGATGACAATTAAAGTCTCCCTTTCCTGTACTTTCAGATTGACCGGTCAACTTGTTCGGTCTTTTCCTTTGACCGGTCATGGGTGGAATACACCCATCAGCAACTATAATTATTAAGTGGGGAGGTGGCAAGGGGCTGGGGTGGGAGTGTACGGGTAAGAAATGATTTTGTCTCAATTAAAGTCGATGCCTTCCGTTAACCGCACCATCTATTTTACCCCTATTTACCATAATGACCAGAATTTTAGCTAACAGTGATGTGAATATATGACAATTATAGAAAATTACTTCGGATGGAATATTAAAAAATCCAAAATTGTAAATAACTTAGGTATGATCTCTTTACATGAGCAGGGCACCCATTACAGGGGAATGTGAAAGAGATCAAAACGTGTTTCCTTCATTAGTTATAGTTTATGCAATATCTCTTCAATCGTCACCACTGTCGTCGCTTGCATTGCCTTCTTCTTCATCAACACTGTCGCCTCTACTCTGTTCTTCTTCTTCTTCTTCTTCTTCTTGTTGTTGTTTTTCTTCTTCTTCTTCTAGTTCTTCTTCTTCTTGTTCTTCTTCTTCTTGTTCTTCTTCTTCTTCTCCGTCTTCTTCTTTTTCACTTCCATTGGTTTCTTGACCACCTTTCTCTTCGCTTTCAACTATTTGTGCCTTTCCTGCACCATCTCCATCCGCTGCAGTCTTTTTGTGCTTACCCTTTGGGTTATCCGTAGGGTCCTGTTTCCCTTTCATCTTACCATTTTCGGCATGTTTTCCTTCCCCCTTGCTCTTTTTGTTGGATTCCACCGGCTTAGAAGATACCGCCTTCCTTTTAGAATTTTTCAGTCTGAACTCTGTCAGTAACAGGGAAAGAGTTACAAATAAAACAAACAAACTTGGGTCGGATGAAGGTTCGATAAGTTAGCTGGTACTTATCTCATATAGTGTTGGTTAAAATTTAGCTGATCTTAGAAATACAAAAGGACATAAATTGACAAAATTGAAGCTATAAACGAGAAGCTCATGTAACATGTATGATAAGCCAATCAAAGTCTCTTTAATAAAATAAGCTCAGGGCTATCCAACAAGTTCATCTGGCCTTAAAAGAGCTTGCTTCAAGATCCTCTTTAAGAGAAATCAAAGGCAGAGATGTAGTGCTAGAATCCATGAAAAGTAGTCAGCCAATACTAATAGTAGAACTGGATCTTTTAAAGTAACTTATGACAATAAGGGCTTGTTTGGATGGAGGCTTTAGAATATGTTGGGAGGACTTAGTATAAATTGTGATGAATAGATTGTTTTTGCCAAAGAATAATAGGGGATTGAAATATCATACACAGACATATCATGTTATTCTTTCAACTTTATAAAATCTCAAAAATACATATCAAGGTACAGATTAAGCACTCCAACGCTTTCCTTCGCAAACCCTCCGGGCAAAGAGACCCTAAGGAACAAACACTAACCTTCAAGAGAAGCTTTGAGAGGTCCCACAAATTCACTAAACTCTATATCTTCAAGAGCCTTGAATACATCTTCAGCATTCATTGTTTGCCTTTTAGACTCCATGCAATTATCATTTGCACTGCAATTACAAAAGATACATCAGAATAAGTGAAGCCAGCTCAACACATCACAACTTATTTTGCATTATAATTATGACATTATTTTTCGCATTTGGTTTTCTTAATGGAAGATGGCAAAAATCCTGCCATACAACAACTCTGCAACACCATCAATCGCACACCACCACCAACAACAGACCTAGTGAGGCCCGGGGAAGGTGTGGACACATGCTTTATCCCTTCTCATTAAGTAGAGAGGTTGTTTCCAAGAGCTTTGATCTCAAAACACATGATCACAGTGGCAAAAGAAAGTAACATGCACAAAGTGAGACCACAAATAAAAACAGGCACACATGTAGAAACTACGAACTAAGGCACAAAAGTACACATGCAAAGACTACAAACTAAAGCCTAATGGTATATCCAACCACCTTATTAATCCTAGACCTTCAGACGCCCCAATTTAAAGTCATATACTCAGCAAGATCAAGAAGTCATTAGTCTTGTCAACCCACCTCTTTCCAACTCTCATTGGATATACGAATATACCTCTACCCCTCCCAACAGCCCCTACCACAAGCCTCCCGCAACTCCACACTAAGGCATCCATATTTCTCCTCAATGCATGCTCAAATAAACTAAATCTAGCTTTTTGTAGCTAAACTTCCACAAAGGCCAGTCTCACCCTCCCCTGGATGTCCTTGTTTTGGATCTGATCCGTCATCTTATGCCCACACATCTACTTCAACATCATCTCTGCCACTCGTAGCTTTCGAACACGAGTGTCCTTCACCGCCTAGCATTCCACATCATACCAAAGGGCCAATTTGATCTTTGTCCAATAAACCTCCCTTTCAGGCCTGTCCATATCCTCTTGTGGCAAAGTACACCTCAACTCCTCAAGCGAGCTTTCACTTAGTCCAAGCGGCTCCAATACAATGAACAACATCTATATCTAGCTCCCCATCGGAGCGCAATCGACCGCACACCATTCTTCACAAATTTCTTATGGCAACGAAGTAACAACACCGTTCTCTTTACTGGCAAAAAAAATTCTGAATCAATGCTTGTTGATTGATTTACAACAATTTGTGAGACCAAGTTACCATTTTTTATGCCTTAAAACTTCTATCACAATGAAATCAAATGTCATCGTAATGAGAAGTCCTTAAATTATTATAGAATTGTGTGTAATACCACATCATATTAGGTTAGTAACTTAGCTAAGCACTTAAATAGATGTGAATTTCACACACCCTATGCAGAAAAAGCACAGTCTTATCAACGATTGATTAAAGTTTGATGGGAACGAAATGGGGCTCGTAGAGATGAAATCACAGAGAGGGAAAGTGAAGCAGAAACAGGTAAAAAACGAGCGAGCTTACGCAGCAGACAGGTAGTGGATGAAGATGCGGGCGCTCTCGGTGAAGGCTTGAAGAGCGTCGCGAAGAAGGGACATTTCGCCGTCCCTGGAGAGCTGTGAGAGCTTTTCTTTCACTAGCCGGCGGACGATAGTCTTCGGCAGGTCTTCTACGACAACTGCCGGAATCACCGCTCCTTTCTCTTTCTCCTCCGCCATCGGTGCTCCCTCTGTTTCTCTCCCCCACGCTCTTCCCCCTCTCCAAACAACCCGATCGAAAAACCTAGGTTTCTTTTCCCGCCACACAAGTCGCCAAGAGATTTATGGTTCGGCCGGACACTCCTCAGGCGAGTCTGGGTCATCTATTTTATGATTTTTATTTTATTACAAATTAAATTTAATTTAAATGAACAAATGATATATCAAAATTATATCTTACTTGTTGATATGAATTTAATTGTATTAAATTTATATTATAATTAAATATATTTTTTCACAATTTGTAATCAAAGTGTGATTACAAATTACATCTCTGATTATAGAAACCATCAAAATACATTTCTCATTATTTTAAAGTTTCAAAGTACATCTTCATATATCTTTTAGTTAATCCTTTTCAAATTATTAAAACGATCCGGACCAGAACGGGTTTTCAAATTTTAAAATTGAAACTGGACCTAACCCGGCTTGTTTGAAACGGGTCGATTCCATGGGTCAACGGGTCCGAACCTATCATGATATTAATATTAAAAAAATAAAGTGATAATAAAATAATAATACATACATGGTCATTCACCATTAGTCCAAAACAATGTGCTATTTCCATTGTCTATTTTAAGTCATCGAACATAAAAATAGGCCTAAATGAAGATAAAACAATGACAAAGGACATGAGAGTAAAGTGTACACCTCATGATCATCCAACAACGACAACAAAAGAAGATTGGAGTATTAAAAAATGGTGTATTTACTAAAAATAATACCGGGGTATTAAAAAATGGTTCGGTCCGGGTCCAATACAATTTTAAAATGGGGAACCGGACCGATCCTAAAATCTATAAGGACCGGATCGACCGGATCGTTATAAATTTTTGAAAAGAGGACCCGCACCTAACCCGGACCGAACCTAGCGGTTCGGTTCCGACTCCCATTTCCTTGACCCGTTTGCCCACCCCTAGTTGTAACTAAGCTTTTTGTTGTGGATTAAAATAATTTGATCTAATTTATATTTAAATTCTAGATTATGAAACATACAATTATCGTCAATTTTGAATTTAACGTGTCAATACGGAGTACTATTTAACATTCTCAAAAGGTAGCAATTTATTGACAACCTATCAGCGATCCATAGAGTGCAGAGAGGATGAGAGTGAAAGCTAGGAACCACTCACTCTCTTCCATTAAAACTTTCCTCTTTTATTTTTTTTCAATTCTATAAAACACTTCTACTTTCTACTAAAAACCATTTTAACACTATTTTTTCATATCCAACCTATCACATTATGTTTTTTCACTAATAACCAAACTATCACATCTTACTTTTATTCATTAAATCATGGGCAAATACACTTTCTTGATTTAATTATTCTCATATTATGAAAACAAAACTTGTTGAAAATAGCTAGCCGTCCCGTTTTTATCATTATCATCGGGCTGGCCCGTGGCATTAAACATAATTCAACCTCACTCTTTTGCGGGTGGGCTTTTGTGTCAGGCCGGTACTCCCACCCGCGGCGAAGGAATAATGGGCCAAAGTCAAACGGAAATGTACCGACCCGAAAATACGGGCTCACCTTCTTGGCTTCTTCTACACAAAATCTCCGACTCTCGGATCAGTAAAGACGCTTTCCTGAGATTTTGCACAGCGTCGGACAATGGCGTCACCGGCAGCAGTTCGGAGAAGCGGTGGCGGCCTTCTCGAAGGCCTTTACAGGGTCATCATGCGCCGGAACTCTGTCTACGTCACCTTCGTCGTCGCCGGCGCTTTTGTCGGCGAAAGGGTACGCATCATCAGCGCACGTTCACGTGATATCCATTTATTAAGCTTGAAATTGATCCGAGTATCTTTTCAGATCTGAATTTATCGAGTCATTTTTAACGAATAGAAGTCAAGTTCTTCTGAACCGATTTGGAATTTTGTTTAATTCCGCATACATTGTAAGTGCAGGTGGTTGACTATGGGATTAAGAAGCTCTGGGAGCAAAACAACATTGGGGTATGTTGTTCTTCACTTTGGACCTAAAATTTCATAGTTTTTGGATCATTTAATTAACTCTTTATTCGATTATGTATCTTCCTCCTTTTTTTTCAATTCATTCATTGCAAATAATGAACTTAACATTTTTTTGTTGGCCTAAGGCGTTTCGTTTGTAATTCATTACTAAAAAAAGGGTCTTGACATGTGGATATATTTGCATTAGGAGAAAAAAAGCAAGTAAAAACACTAATGGATCATGTGAACAAGTTGGCCTTTACTAACCATGTAGTAGGAATCTTGCTTGTGCATCATGGCCAAAGATTTGTAGAGTTCATGCTTCTGTCTCCTTTTAGCATTTTCCATGGTTTCAGCAGTGATAGTATTTTCGTACAAAAAATAATATTATTCTAATACACGACATAAAGGAATGCCGAATGCCCACCCTAAAAATGTTTAACTCCTGTGATTTGAATAGGAAATACCAAAATCTTGGCCAAAATGGCCAAAACACAAGGGCTCAAAAATCTTTGCCCAAAACGGCCATTAGGCATAGCAAGCTTGTCCGAATGACACACATATTCTCTAGACAAGCTTTTTGAACTTTACACGGTTACACAATGGACCGTCTTTATTTTTTATTTAGCCTTTGATGTGTGACTTGCCCTAAAATTTTGTTTGCTTTGAGAGATCTAAGGGAGTATTATTTTTGTATATGCTAAAGTTATAGAGTTGGATTTTATATGTAAAAAATACATTATATTTATACTAGGTGCTAGTTTAAAATTTTCATATTAGCAATGTCTAAAATGTGTCAAGGTGGTTTGTTTAAGACTTTAAGGCTTGAGTTGCAGCCCACAAAATATACCAGAAAATAAAAATAGTTACACTGGAATGTAATACTTTTCTTTTCTCAAGAGATTCATAGATTTGTCCTAGTTAGGTCATTCATCTTTCTAGTAACATATGTAGAAAAGTCTAGGCCTTCACTAGTAGGAGTATCGGCCACCTCAATAATTTTTCAGAATAACAACAATGAAAAAACATAAAAACAAAGAAGAGAATAATATGAGAGAAGCATGAAAAAGCAGGGGAAAAAAGAAGAGACCAGGAGGAAGAGAGAATAATTAGAACATGCACATGGAGCATCAAAGCAAAGAAAATACATGTTATAGTGATTCAGATCATTGTNGCGGAGGCGACATAATAGAGTGATATGTTATTTCTTATCCCTTACACACTAAATTCAATTTATGGACCTTATTGCTTAATAGTCTCACATTCCAGAAAAAACAAATCCCTCAGGTGTAAGCCTTTTTCTTTGGGGTGTAAGCCTCTTGTTAATTGTTATGCGAACAAGGCGCCTCACCCTGAGGCGAGCCTCACATTGAGGCTTGAGCCTCATAAGCCCTTTTTCAAACCATGCATAAAAGAGGTTGAAACATAAACTTTAGAGTTATGTTGGATATTCACTTTGTTGCTACATTCTTGCACTTTAGATGTGGAGACAGCATCCTCTATAAGCTGATAATTTTATGCAGGAATGTTGGCTTAATTTCAGGGTACATAATTTATTTGACATAGAATGATTGAATTAGGTGATGTATTGTATGCATATTTTATTATAATGTGTGCATCAGTTAAAGCAAGATTTTTGCGCTAATTTGTAAATAAATGTTAAAATGTAATTTTTTAAAGGGGTTTTAGCCGTTCCACTATCACAGTCCACTCTCCGAATCCTTTCAATTTCACATTTTACAGTAGTATATATATATCCTCTAAGAGGAGCTTCTTTTGATGAATTATAAGTCTTGGTCTTCAAAAATGTGTGTGTTTTTGTTTTAAGAGGAGCTTCTTGTGATGAATTATAAACTAAATTATCTATCTGTCAAAATGCAGAAGCGATACGAGGATATTCCAGTTTTGGGACAAAGGCCATCTGAATAATCTGGCATCAACACTAATAATCATTCCGATTGCAGGTTTTTTTTAAAAAATGATTTTAATTATTATATTGGCTCTGAGACTTCTTTGTGTAGATTCTTTGTAATGTTTGAATTCCCATGCATAGATAATAAAATATGATCTTGTGATTGTGGGCAAACATGGGACTATATAATTAACATGCCCTCCTTTGAATGATTCAATATAAACTCATCTTTAGAGAGCATTTGAACTCAAGACTCATTTACTCTGCATTTGTCACAAGATTTTGGTCAATCTTGATAATTGATTATTATAAGGAGGGTGCATTGCACTCCAGTTGGAAAGCATTAAACAAAAAAAAGTGTTCTGAATAAACAAAGTTCATTTATTTTTCCAGAATTCAATATGAATATTCTATCATCATCTTTGATATGTATGAGAATGGTATTGCTGATATGGAACAATCTAATTCACAATCCATTGATGTGATGACTTTCACTTCTGTTCTCTTTGGGATATATATATATATATATATATATGATCCACCACTGGGATTTGTTTTGTTTTATTTGCCTCATTTGACAAATTTTGGCTTTAAATCTATTGATTTTTACTGTGCACCTGTCTTTTTTTTTTCAAAAACAAAAAACACAAAACTCCAACCTCGTTGTCAAATGACATTATAGGGATTTGGGTAGGACAGTTTTTTCCCACCTTAATTCTTATTGGAGTGTTTTGATTTGCCTCTTGTTTGGAGTATAGATACAATATCCAACACATTTTCTCTAATTCTTTTTGTCTTGAACCATAGATTTGCGCGTAGGGTTGTTATTCCTGTTAACGAGTCGAGTTGAGTCAAATCACTCTAAAAAAAAAGTTTGGCTTTGTTTAAATTTTGGTTTTTTCAAGTTTCCAACATATATTTTTACTAGTGTAGACTCTTAGGTTTTCTATAACGTTTTTTTTCTCTCTTTGATCTTTCACTATGATTTCACGCTAAAAATTAAGGCTATGTTTCCTTCGGTTGGCTAAATTAACGTCCAATTTTATCTAATTTTTTTCAGTTTTTTTCAACTATTTTTAATTTTTTTTAACTTTTTCCAATTTTTTCCAAAGACTTAAAAAAGTATTTACATATGATGACTATACAATAACATTATGTATCTAAATTTATAACGAACACCTCAAACACAGACAAAGATGAATTTATTTTATATTTAAAATTAATCTTCTTGCATATTTATTTGGATTTTATTAAATTGATTGATTTTTTAACATTTTATTTTTTCCAACATTTTCTAATTCTTTTTAGTTTTTTTAACAACTTCTTTCTATTTTTTCCCATTTCTTTTCAACTTTAAAATTCTAACCGAGAGAATAGAGACTAAATAAAGTGTAATTATTCATGTTAAATTTATATCTGGTTTGATGGCAATAATGGAAGAAATATTTATGTTAAATTTATCTGGTTTGATTTTAAATAAAATAAGTAATACGGAGAAAAAAATAAGAATGGGTTGATAAATTTTTCTTTGGCTTGAGTAGCATGAAGTCCACTCCTCAAGATTCATGGCGAATCTCTCCGAAGTTTGATTTCTGGTAGAGACAAAAGCATTGGCTCAATGTGTATAATTATGTTCAGATTGTATAAAGAAATTATCCGTACAACTTTGTAGTAGAGTCTACAACAATCCAAAAGAAAAAAATGAATTAAAGAGAACAAACTCTAAGACATGTTTATCAAATGAGTCAAACTTGAGATACCTCAAGTTTCCTCAAGTTTGACCCCAATTTTGAAATCATACTCCGTAACTTTATAAAAATCACTGACAGAGAACACTATTTTGTGTCTGTGATATCCCGGTCATCGTTTCTTCCCTCATGTCTAATTCACTAGTGGTTCTTCTCCTATGCCTTACGGAGATTCTCACCATCTAGCTTTCCATCACCTGTCATTTGCTTCATTGCGCCCTTGACGCTTTTGCATTCAGAGTAAAGACATTAATGTAATAAAAATGTGTCAAGGGTACCACAAAGTTAATTGTTTTTAAATATATATAATATTATAATGCACGCACTTGGTTCACAAGTTGGTGTTGATTTAATTTGTACAACAACTAAAGTGAAAGAACTCAAACATATACACACACATGCATGCACTTAATCCATTCGAGAGAATAAACCTCAAATGATTGGTATTAGGAAGGAATTATTGGTGCGTGTATATAATATTATTCGAAAAAACCATGATAATCATTATTATTAAATGCATCACAAATAATACAACTTAAAGACTCTATAATCCACTCCTCTATCCTAACTTATATCCCGTAATCTCTATATCCAAATTAAATGACTAGATACGATTATTAAGAAAAATAAAATTGACGGTGAAAAGTTATGAAGTGAAGAGAGAGAGAAATGAGCGAAATCATACAGTTCTTTCCTAAAAGAGTAGTTAAAATTATTTTGAAACGAACAAAAAATAAAAATAAATATTTTTTGGAACAGAGAGAGCATAAATTATTTAAATAATTGTATACGTTTTTTATCATTAAAATATAAAATAAAAATAAAATTTATCGGTCCATTTCCTTCCTTAAGGTTTTCTATCGAGTATTCATATTTTAATTTTTGTTGTTTACTTAATTAATTAGCTTAGTCCCATTGCCCACCAAACTCTCCAGCTTTATTTTTTGGTAGATTCTGTTGTGGACTTAAAGTTTATGTTCATTTTATACGTGATTATATTATTTGATGAAAATATGTAAAGAAAAGAAATATTTTTTCCCGTCCTAAAAACTCTTCCTGTTTTGACTTTTTTGTCAAACAATGATACTTTTTTTACCAAAAATTATAAGAAAAGTATTATTATAATATAAATTTAATATAATTGAGTGATCTTAAGATATAGTTTTGACAAATTAAAACATTTATTCATTATGTTTATTTGTGTTCAAAGAAGGTCACAATTTGACTAAAAAGATCAAAACAGAAAGAGCTTTTAGGATCGGATGAGAGTATAATTTAACTTTATAAGCATTAACTGCATCTTTTAATTTATTTTAGAACGAAAGAAGTATTTTAGTGATCATTATTCCTTTTTTAAAAAAGAAAACAAAATCGTGATAGTGTATGGTATAATATACATTGTGTTAATTATACATAATAATGTTTTTTGCATACATAAAACATAATTTGATCCAAAATGGACATTTATTAAACCAAGGTGTTAGCTAGGAAGTCCAATCACTATCAATGAATAAAGTTTACTTAAATCTATCAAGAGATAAAAGAATTTTGGTGTGGTTTTAGTTGATGACAAGGATTGGATGTGGAGGCATCAATGTATCAAATTATATACAGAGTAATACCAAAACAAATCTATTACAAATCATGGATTATAACACTCAATTATTAACTGCAGTAGTGAGTTCTACTAATTATTGGTTAAACACTATTTAAATGTTTTTAGAGAAATTGTTACTATTTTAAACATTATTTTACATTATTAAAAAACTACCTAAAACTGTACCGTTAGTTGGAAATGTGTTTCTTAATGCTAACGTATAGTAAGAATTATTACTCCCTTAGTCCCTTTATCTCAATTTAAATCGTCTATTTCGATTTATGATGTTTGACTGAAATTATTTTTAAATTATTTTAATTATGATAGATGCTAAGGTTATTAGTATAAATAAAAACATTGTCATGTTCGTAATGCAGTTTTTAAATATTTTATATTTTAATCGGCATTTTTTTTATTCCTCGTTTAGATATAGGTCACAATTAAATTACTTTCTTATCTATACAAAATTAATAATTTAGTTTGATTTTCTACAATTTCCACGTCTGATCCCTCCTCCACGTGCATGGTTTCCCCTATGGACCCAGGATGACCCATAATATCCATACATCTCCTCCCGGTTCAAAACCTACCTTGTCCTCAAGGTGTAAGTCGGGATAGTGGCTTAGTAACATATCAACCCGATCCCGTGTAGCATCGAACCATTCCACCATGGCAAAGGACTCGGAAAGAGTCAGTCTAGGGTTTATCACAGCGATCTCTTTGCTTGCTGTAGGTGACTTTTCAAGCTCGCATGGAATAGGAAAATCAATCTCTCTTCGATAGCACCTGTGACATATTGTAAGACTTTCTCAAAGGCTTCGTGATATTTCATAAACGACCCTCGTTGCCAAAGTTTTGCCAATTGCCCAATATAATCCACTTATTGATTACACTCAGAGAGGAGTTTGAATTTGGTCACAAAATCATCCCAATCATTGATAATCTTATTTTTCATTAGCCAACAGAACCAGTCCGTTGTGGGACCTTTCAACATCAAGGTGATAAAACGCAACCATTTGTTCGGAAGCGTGGCATATAATTGAAAGTATTGTCGTACCTTATTTAGCCAACTTAGCGGATCAGACTCAGCTCGTCACTCTAGATGGGGTCTAATTTTGGCCTGGGTCTATAGGTTTCTCCATCACGGTCGAAGCCCTCCTCGCCAGCCGGATGTCGTCGTTGTCCTTGGTGTTGCCGCTGTGCCCGGCTAGCATTCAGGGCACTATGCGAGCATACTGAGCGTCGATCTTAGAGGATTGGGAAGCGAGGTGCGTGTCAAACTCCCGTTGTAATTGGGTAGTGGTATCACATATAGAGTCCCATAGTTCATGGAAATTCGTGTGTCGCACTACTAGTTGCTAGGTGATGACGGAAAGGTCGCTAGACATGTTTGAGAACTCGATGAAATCACCAACAGTAAGCTATGTATCAGATAAGGAATGCTTCAAGTGCCTCCGAACTCCAAAGGGGAGGCAAAGAGAGAGAGAACGACACAGGTGTGGTTCACCTGAGCAATAGTGGAAGAGAGAGATCGAATTAGGGGTTTTTAGTAATAATCTTCTATATTAATTACGAGAATCCTAATCCTAATTATGCTAGGTTTGCTAACTTGACGGCTCAAAGAAAGAGACGAGGTAAAGATCCGTAAAGAGATCCTTGGAGGAGCTTATAATTTTATTCACCTAATAAAATCTATATTTTAATAAATAATAATAAATACAAATAATGACGTTCATGTCCTGTAGTTGCCATGCCATGCAAGGGCTCATATATTAATACTACTCACATTCCTGCGCACCTCGGACTCCTAGACTTCGTGCAGAGTCTCGTCCTCTACAAGTTCCACGTCTGATCCTTCCACCACAAGTGTGCCTTCCCTAGTGACACTAGAACGAGGACGGCCCATAATATCTTTTGCAACATGTTATCTATCACTATACTTATTTTATCTCATTTCCATATTGAAAGTCACTTTTTTGAACATTAATAACTCTATTACAAGATAGTATCTGTCCATACATTTTCAACCTATTAAGGCGTATAGAGTTATTGCCCCCACCAGGGATCAAACACATGACTTCTCATATTGAAAGACACTTAATTCCTTATTTTTCGGCCAAATACTGTTGCTCTTCACTAAAAATTGTTGGACATTGTATGTTTAGATTTTCATTTTATGTACTCCTTCGTCTTTAAAAGTCAAATTTTAATACTTTCTACGTGTTTAAAAGTCTTTCTCATTTTTTTCTTTTTCCCAAAATTTCTTTCTCTTTTTTAATATTAAAAATCAGTTTTACCTATATTAATTGTTATCTTACCTATCACATCATACATATTCGCTAATAATATATTCATCACATCCTATTTTTAGGTATTACATCAATGGTAATTTGTAAAAGTCAACATAAAAATATTTCATTCTTAACACAATGTTTGGATGATGAAAAGTAGGAAGAAAGAAAATATTAGGTAAGAAATTAAAACTCAAAAATCAATTCATTTGTTTGGATATAGGAGAAATTTTTGAGGGAGGAGAAAAAATAAAATGATTAGACCATGTGAAAAGTTTTTCACCATAAATGATTAGGAAATGGATGAAGGAGCATTTCTTCTCTTTTTCTTATCTTTTCATCTTTTTTCACAATTTTCCATCAATCCAGACATTAATTTTTTTTTCTTCATTTTCTCAGAGTTGTGTTGAAAGAATTATTTGGGAGAAATTCTCTGTATTTCTCTCTTGTCTTTACAATGTAAAATGAAGCCATATATATAGGATCTCACAAGTTGAGACTCCTAATTAGTAAAGGAAAAAGGAAAAGGAAAGAATCCCTATACAAGGAAAACTACCAAAATAGTATATACACAAATATTTCCAAATATTCTCCGAATATTCTTTTTCCTTTAACACCCCCCCTCAAGTTGGAGCATGTAATATCGAAATGCCAAACTTGGGAAGAAAAAACTCCAAACGCGACTTTCCGAGTGCCTTTGTATGAATGTCTGCAAGCTGATGCGTAGTAGGCACATGAAGTGTACGAATCTCTCCTCGCAAGAGCTCATCATGCACGAAGTGACAATCAATCTCAATGTGCTTCGTGTGTTCATGGAAAACCGGATTAGCAGGAATGTGAAGTGCCGCCGTGCTGTCACACCGGACCGTCATGGGGTTCTTATGCTCAACCGCTAAACACCGCAATACATTCTTTAACCACTTCAACTCACATGTAAGGACAACCAAAGCTCTATACTCTGCTTCAGCAGACGAGCGAGCCACCGTCGACTGCTTCTTTGTTTTCCATGAGACAGGCGAGTCTCCAAGTTGCAAAAACCACCCTGTCAATGACCGCCTCATCAAAGGACATGCTACCCAGTCCGAATCACACCATCCTGTGGGTTGAAGACTACTCTCTCCTAATAGAAAAATGCCCTGACCCGGACATCCTTTCAAATAACGAACAACTCTAACGGCCGCAGACCACTGATCCTCCCTTGGTTCCTTCAAAAACTGTGCTAAAGTGTGGACGGCGTAAGAAAGTTCCGGTCGTGTAACGGAGAGATAGACCAACCTCCCTACCAACCGTCGATATGGTTCTGGATCTGCAAGAACTGGGGCTTGGGAATGAGCCAAGTGATGATTTGGCTCCATCGGGGCACCCAACGGCCTGGCACCTAACAACCCCGCCTCAGTGATGATATCTAAGGCGTACTTTTGTTGGAAGAGAAAAATTCCAGACATGCTCCTCGCCACCTCAATGCCAATAAAGTATTTTAGTGTTCCCAAGTCCTTCATATGAAAACAATCTCCGAGATAGCCTTGAACTTGCTCACCATCTCTGTATTATCCCCAGCAATAATCAAATCATCAACATAAACCAAAACATGTATTACTCCTTTCCTTCCAACAAAAGAAAATAAGGAGTAATCAGCAACAGATTGGACAAACCCATAGCGTTTCAAGGCTCCAGACAACTTGGCAAACCAACACCTTGGAGCTTGCTTTAAGCCATACAGAGACTTCTTGAGTTTGCACACCACATTAGACGAATTCGAGAAACCATGTGGCAATCTCATATACACCTCATCCTGAAGATCTCCGTGTAGAAATGCATTGTGAACATCCACCTGATGCAATTCCCACCCCTTAACTGCTGCAACTGCTAAAAGTGTTCTCACAGTGGTCAACTTGACTACAGGAGCAAATGTTTCTTTGTAGTCAAGTCCTTCAACCTGATGATTGCCAAGTATAACAAGTCTCGCCTTGTATCTCTCCACACTTCCATCGGACTTGCGCTTGATTTTATACACTCATTTGCAACCAAGAGGCTTTTTATGTCGTGGAGGAGAGACAAGAGACCACGTCCTGGAATGCCTTCTTGAAACTCGTGGGCTCCACTTCAGCATCAAGTGCGCTAAGATAGCATTTGTGTCTGTCAGAGAACTTCTCGTGAGTGACATACGAGGAAAGTGGATATTTGCATTTTTCACCAACATATGAACCAGTTACATAGGTAACATAATCAGCTAGCCGCACATTTGGATGTTTCTCACGCTGACCACGTCCCAAGTTCTCCACCGCTGGCTCGGAAGAGGGCGGTCGACCGCCGTCCGTGGAACGGTCCACGGGGTCGACTCTCTGAGGCTGTTCCGGATCGCTAACTTTCTGCCTTGGAGACAGTCGACCGTCTTCCTCATCACAGTCGACCGTTTGATCATCTCCCAAAGAACCGTCATTCTACCTCTCGGACGATCGACCGTGGATATCTTGACGGTCCACCAGGTCGACCGTTCGGTCATCTCTCAGGAATCTGTCATTCTACCTCTCGGATGGTCGACCGTGGACATCGGAACGGTCCATCAGGTCGACCGTCTGTAGCCGGTCTGTTCTGCCACTTTCCTCCGGTCGACCGTTCCTCCTGGAATTGTCCATCTGTTCTTCCATCCGCAGTTCTTCATATTCATCATAAGAGCTAACCTCATTTGTACTTCCTGTATCAAGAGATGCACCTGTAGGAGTCAAGAAACGAAAAATATCTTCACAAAACACAACATCCCGGGACACCTTGATTTCTCTAGTGTTCGGGTAGTAAATATGTCATCCCTTCTTCCCTTGTGGATATCCAACAAATATTCCAAGATTGCTTCTTGGTGCAAATTTATCACCATTCCTCTTCAAGTTATGAGCATAACATCTGCATCCAAAAACACGAATATGAGCCAAAGAGGGTGGCTTTTCATAGATCTTCTCGTATGGTGTGACCCTCCCTAGCAAAGACAAAGGTGTGCGATTGATCAGATGTGCAGCGGTCTGTATACACTCTCCACAGAACTCAATCGGAAGGCCAGCCTGAAACCTCAAAGCCCGACCCACATTCAAAAAGTGTCGGTGCTTGCGTTCTACTCTCCCATTCTGTTGTGGAGTAGACACACAAAACGTCTCATTAATAATTCCTTGCTCCCAAAAATATTCGTCTAGACATTCAAATTCTGTGTCATTATCACTGCGAACACACTTTATTTTCTTCCCAAATTGTCGTTCTACCATAGCACAGAATTGTTTAAAAACAGTCCCAACCTTACGTTTGGAATCAAGCAAATGTACCCAAACACCTCTTGAAAAATCATCCACAATGGTCAAGAACATTGTAGAACCATCAAAACTTGGAGTCCTATATGGTCCCCATAAATCACAGTGTAGCATATCAAATTTATCAACAGATTGAAAAAAACTTATAGGAAAGCTCCCACGAGTCTGTTTAGCACGCAAATAAATGTCACAACAATTGTGACTACTCTTACTTGTTCCAACTCCAGGAATAAGAGACAAAACATGAGAGGAAGGGTGCCAAGTCGTTTGTACCAAAGATCAAACTTACTCTCCTTCTTCGCACTGCACACCATCTTCTTTTCAGGCTCCTTGAAGTAATAAAGTCCTCCTTTCAGCTCACCCATACCAATTTCTGTCTTCAAACACAGATCCTGTAGTATACACTTATTTTTGGCAAAGCGTGCCTCACAATTCAAATCCCTTGTTAATTGTGACACAGAGATTAAATGGCAGCTCAAAGTGGGAACATATAGGACATCATGCAGAATTAATATTTCTGTTAATTTAATCTTCCCAGATTGTACAGAAACAATTCTTTTCCCATTGGGCAAACCAATCTCACACGATGATATTCCCACGACATCATGCAATAAAGAAATATCACTAGTCATATGATTTGATGTCCCAGTATCTATAATCCAACACGGAGATACAGGAATACTTGAAAACTTCATACTAGAAACAAACGGTGATAGGGAGAAAACGTGTCGAACAGCATTCCACTGTTCTGGAGTCAAATTATCAAAATTTGGAAACAGAGAGGTTCCCCTCTCATGATTATCCTCTTCTTCAGGCGAAAACATCTTCCTTGGTTGTTCATCGGTCATGGCGGTAGCAAAGGGGCGTACGTCGGTGGCGGAAGAATGAACAGCAACATCATCCAAACAATCTGCCGACGGGACAGTCGCCGTGCTCGACCGTTCTAGAGCAACGGTCGACCATTCCGTTATCCGGCAACAGCAACAACTGACTGAAACTGAGCAACGATCGATGGACGCCATGCCGGGCGATCGTGAACAGTAGTCGCAGAAAATTTCTAGGGTTTTGGCTCCGATACCATGAAAGAATTATTTGGGAGGAAATTCTCTGTATTTCTCTCTTGTCTTTATAATGTACAATGAAGCCATATATATAGGATCTCACAAGTTGAGACTCCTAATTAGTAAAGGAAAAAGGAAAAGGAAAGAATTTCTATACAAGGAAAACTGCCACAATAGTATATACACAAATATTTCCAAATATTCTCCTAATATTCTTTTTCCTTTAACATGTGTTTTCTCTCATTTTCTTTTTCTCATTTTTCCTCACATCATCCAAACAACCCATAAACCCCATAAAAATCCAAATCAAAAAGAGATTTAGGAACCGTGTGGAGCATCTAATTTTGGTGTTAAAATGGTTTTACCTTTTTTTCCAGTTTGGAAGCCTCAGAAAATCAGGTGGTCCCAAAGAACCTCAAAGATACAAAGATCTCCTCTACCATTGGATGGAGAATAAACAAATCTGATAATAATAATAATAATAATAATTGTTACTCCAGAAAAAGGACATGAAAAAGAAAACCCAAACTGTATGTTCAATTGATCACAGTTTTCCTCTTCCTTTGTCTGAGAGAGAGAGAGAAGTGAACAGAGGACCCTCACTTGTTTTCACATGTGAGTATATATAGATAAACTCTTCATTCTTGACAAAAAAAAGCTTCTTTCTTGCTCCCTCTTCTTCATCACCTCTCCCTGTCATTGAAAACTGAGGTAATTAAAGCTAAATAAATGTGTGTGTATTTTATATTTTCGTGCCGAAATGTCTCTGTTTGTTGCTTCTTTCTGCAGAAACTATCATTTTTTTAATGTTTTGTTTCCACAAGTGTGTGTTTGCCTTGATTACTATTCTTGGCTTTCTTGAACAGAGGAAGAGGATGATCTAAAAGTGGGCTGTTTTGCATGGCTACCAGTGATCAGAGTTTTGGAATGAACTGCCGCCGCCGCCTTCCGGACCACCACCACCATGATATGGATTTCGGTATTTTCCACGGCGGCGCAACCCCAAGCTTCATGTCCCACTCCACACTCAAGTAATTAACATTACAATCTTCCAGTAGTTACTATGTTCTTGTTTATGCCTAATAATTACTTCAGCCATTTCTTGACAGAAACTAAAGAGAAAAATCTAAACTTTATCATTTGGTTTGTTATTGTGATGAAGGAAAAGCCAATTCTTGAGAATGGGTGTTCATTATTTTGAGGGAAAATTAAAGAATCAGAAAAAAAAATCTAAACTTTATTTTTAAGAAAATAACTTTCTTCTTGCTCTGACATTTTGGTGGTTATTTTTGGTTAGCAGCCAAGAAGGATCATCCAATTTTTGACAATGGGTATTCATTATTTGGGGGATATTTTAAAAAAAAACAGTCTAAAGTCTAAACTACCCTTCATTCAATTCTACATCTCTTCAATGAGAGGAGATTCCTTTGTTCCAAAAATGCTATCTCATCTCTATGCCACCCTCTCTCAAGCATTACATAACATAATACTCCGTAATAAAATGATACGTAGTATTACATTTTTATGTTATGTGACAACATCTGAATAATGAGATATAAAGTGGAAAAAAATTTTCTAGACAAGGGATCGCATGCCTTCTACAATTAGTACAATATCATGTTATGAATTGACCATTTCTTTTTCAAGTTGTGACATAGATTTTGATTAAATATGTGACATAAACCAATCACCGGTTCTTCCTAGTAGTAGTAGTGGTCGAAAACTTAAACCCCTCGATCTTCTTCGGTATCAAGACGTCCCTCACTTCTTCTAGTTCTCGTTACTACTTCGGTTTCTAACATACGGAAAAAATGGGGAGACAATAAAGACTGCAAACGTTTCATATTGTTGAGGAATAGGGTTTAGTACTGAGAAACAGATAGGGTAGGTGGGTGGGATGGGGTGGGGGGGTGTTTGAATTTGTCCTCAAAACCCCTTTACCATTTCCAACCATGTAATCATTCTTGGCTTCAATGACTTGAATTGCGTGGGATTCAAACAAGGAAACCTGTTCTGGTTTTCAAGATTAAATCTTTTTTTACTTGGTTGGAGTAAAAAAACTGTATGGGTAAGGTAAAAACTGAAAAAGGTGGGATTTTTATGCCAAATCCCTGCCTGCAGAAAAGAAACAAAATTTGGGTTCTTTTCTCTTGTTCTTCTTCTTCTTCTTAAGAAAAGATTTCAAGATTTTGGACTTTGTGATTGTGTGCAGCTTTATATGCAGAAGATAAAGGTGAACCAACACTGGAAATGTTCCCATCTTGGCCTGCTAGATTCCATCTCAGCAGCCCAATGGTGATTAGTACTTTCTCTTTTCTTTTCTTCTTCTTGAAACTAATTCTACATGAATAATAATACTAACACTCCTTAATCATTATTAATCCTGGAGAACTAATTATGGGTTTTTTAAACTTAAAAATGTATGAAGAGAGGGGGGAGCTCAAGATCAGGTGGAGAAGACAGCAGTGATTCAGGATGCTTTGGGAACAGAACAGAAGACACAGAGTCGCCGCCATTGAGTACAACCTTTGACCATAGTCAACATCATCAGCTCCCACTTGCTGCCGCAGACATGGCGGCCACTCATCCAGCTCTTCCTCCTAATTCTAAACACCCCTCTCAACACAAGGTTAATTTAATTACTTTACTAATTGTTATTTACTAATTGATTTTAAAAAAATGGTAGGAAAAATGATTAAGCTTTTGAAGACAGTAAAAAAAGGTTTAGTTGAGAAAGAAAGAAAGAAAAGTTTGAATTTTTTTTTTGGGGGCATATTTTCTGGTGCAAATCTGGTGAGGTCACACTCAAGAAATCCCGCCAATTGCTCCAAGAAAATCAAGAGAAGGGGGCTTTGACATGATTTTTTTTTGTGCTGTGTGGGACTCTGACATGGCATTGTGGGGATTCATGAGAATCTTCACAGTTTTTTTACTGTTCCTCTTTTCACCTTAAACACTGTTCACTGTTATCATTCACCTTCAAAACATCATCATCATCATTATTATTATTATTCCACCCTACCTCCCCTATTAATCTTCCTTAATTAATCACGTCTAGGTAGCTGAACTCGTCCAAAGAGAGATCGTTAAACCCATTATTGATCTTACAGTCGAATCCCGACAGTGCCAGTGTGCAGTTTCTCTATCTCTAAGGATCAAATTAAAATTATTTAATGATTTACTCTCCTCGTTTTCCAATTGGGTCGGGTGTGAAGGGTCTTGGGTGAGCGTTCCACCTTAATTAATCATGCACGAAAATAAGAAAGACTGAAATTATATGATTGAAAATGGTACAGAGAAGTGTAAAGTGGAACTTTTTTTGTTTTCGAGAAGAATGGAGGGATTAATATTTATTTTAATGATGTATTAATAATCTTAATTATTGCGTTGTGGGGCCTACTTTGCAGAGAAGTGTGGGTGGTTCATCTTCTTCCGAAAGAAATCTTGACGCTAAGGTGCTGGCAAACATATATGCTTATCTATCTCCACATCATAATATATTTTCAATCAATTTCAGTTTTTTTTTAATGTCATAAATTAATTTATCTACGAATTTCACCCCATTTTTTTCTTCTAAATTTTGATTTTTTTGGGTCCCAGACGTTGAGGCGTTTAGCTCAAAATAGAGAAGCAGCCCGAAAAAGCCGCCTAAGAAAAAAGGTTTATACGGTGTACCATTTTGCAAATTGTTGATTCTCATGTACTTCTCCCTCTCACTATTTGTTGTGTGTTGGTTTTGTTTCTAAACCAAAAGTGTGAACCATTATTTTGTGTCAATGTGACGATTGACTAAATGCAAAATGCTACTACAAGTTTTTTATCGCACAGGTATTTTGTGTCGGTATGAATCATTAAAATGTTGGTGTATATTTTTTAAGTACACATATGGTTGTTTATTTTATGAAGATCGTGTAATTATTTAACCATGTAAATCCTACTAAAAAACGTACAAGGAAATCTGTGAAACATTTCTTTCACATAAATCTTTTTAAAGATTAAAAAAAGACGTACCATAAAAATGTGACATTTTTATATTATTTTCTAAATATGATTCATTTATTTTAGGCATCATACGTATCCTATTTTATTATAAAGTACGGGAAAAAACAATCTAAATCTCTTTGACACATGTAAGTTAAGGCACAACAAAATGTGACATGTAATTACAAGAATGATTTGTTGAGAAGTAATTAAGAGAGTAAATGTTTGGTTTTTGTGTGTGTGTGTGTGTGCGCAGGCCTACGTACAGCAACTAGAGACGAGTAGGGTACGGCTGGCTCAGCTAGAACAGGAACTGGAGATGGCTCGGTCCCAGGTTTGGTTCCATAACCTAACCTAACCTTACCTCGTAGTAGTCTGTCTCTCTGTTTATATATTACCAGGTCTGGCCTAATTAATTAATTAGCCAGCTAGTGTGGACTTTAAGGATAGGACTCTACTTTTCCCATTGAGTAATCTAGAAAAAGAACCGCTAATTTGGCTGGTTTATACACACACTAATTTGGTTTTTGTTTCACAGGGGATTTTCGTAGGAGGCGGTCCGGCTGTCGGTGCAACCATTAGTCCCGGTACGCATGTCTTTTTTTCTCGTTAATTAAATTTTGGTGAAAGTTAAAACGTGACGAATTTTGAAACATGTTGGGTAAGGGGTTACATGTTATTGTAGCTAGGTAGTAAGCTAGGAAAACTTAAGTCAGCTTTGGAAAATTGAACCAATCTTTAAATGGAAGTGGTCAAAAGTCTTGGTTCTTCTTGGTACTTCACCCAAACAAAAAAACCAGTCAAACTTGTGAAGAATGAGGGCATATCATAAAACTGAATTCCAAAAGGGTACAAATTTTACTGCCCAAATTTGGTAACTACTCTCTGGACAAATCTTTGACCCTAACCTTCTGCTGTCTTTTCTCGTTTTGAACAACTACATACTCATTAGTGAAATTTGCACTAAATAGGACTAAAACATAATGATTTTCCTAACGTAGGACTTAAACTTTTTTATTCCCTAAATAGGATTTAATAATGACCTAGTGAGAGGAATAATGTCTAGTAATGATGGACATTTACTTGAATAATGACTACTTCATAAAGACCAAAGGTCATACATTAGGAAATAAAAACATATGGTCATATATTGGGAAAGTCATTATGTTATAGTCTAGGTAAATTTCTCTACTAATTAACTAAAGACCAGATCATGGTAAATAACCTCTACTGCATGATCTTAATTACTTTTACCACAATCTTCAAAACTTACCCCACACCCAGTTTTTTTACCTCACCCTACTGGTTTCCATCTTCATCATGCATGATTAGGGGCTGCAATGTTTGACATGGAGTACGGAAGGTGGCTGGAGGAGGACGAGAGGCACATTTCCGAGCTTAGAACGGCGATGCAGTCGCATTTGTCGGACGAGGATCTGCGGGTGATCGTGGACGGGTACATCTCGCACTACGACGAGATCTTCCGGCTCAAGTGCGCCGCCGCGAAATCCGACGTTTTCCACCTCATCACCGGAATGTGGTTGTCCCAGGCCGAGCGTTGCTTCCTCTGGATGGGCGGTTTTCGACCCTCCGACCTTATCAAGGTCCGTACATTTTCGAACCTTCTTAAAGCGTATTCGTCTGCCCGTTTTTTCCCCAGATAAGGTAACTTTTTAGTCTTTTATTCGCTTACACGACGGAACGACGCGACAGATGCTGGTGGGGCAGTTAGACCCGTTGACGGAGCAGCAAGTGATGGGAATATACAGCCTTCAGCACTCGACGCAGCAGACGGAGGAGGCACTAGCCCAGGGCCTGGAACAGCTCCAACACTGCCTTATCGACACCATCTCTTCTTCTGCCACCACCCTCAACCATCACATGGCTGCCATTGCCCTCGCCAAGCTCTCCAATCTCGAGGGTTTCATCCGTCAGGTACGTACGTTACACAACAAATATTAAGTATTCCTAGCTATTTGTGGTAGATGATGTTGTATTTTAGTTAGTTTCTAGTTGTGCTACGAGTCTTTCCTATACATACTACCTTTTAGTCTTATAAGGATCAAATTTTTCCAAGTAATACTCCGTATTATTAATTCCAAACATGGTATCGGAGTCATATGCTTTCCTAGCCCTAGGGTCACACGGTTTAGCCGTCTCCTATACCCTAACGTAGTCTTCATTTCTTTTACCCCGACTGGGCACTCCTAACGTTGCCAACTGCACAACGCTTATCGGCAATGTGATGAAGTTAGTCAACACTAACGGACAGTGCTTGTTTTGGCAAGCACACTGCAGGCGGATAACCTGAGGCAAGAGACGATTCACCAGCTGTGCCGGATACTGACGGTGAGACAGGCGGTGCGGTGTTTCTTGGCCATCGGAGAGTACTACGCCCGCCTCCGTGCTCTCAGCTCCCTATGGGCTTCTCGTCCCCGCGCAGAGTAAGTTTTTGATTAAAACCATTATGTTTCAACATTAATTTATTTAGTCCTTATGTTTATTAAACTTTTTTGTTTTTTTTTTTTAATAATGAAGGACAACAACGTTGTTGATGGTTGATGATGGAGGGGCATTATGCCATGGAAAGATGGTCATGGAACAGCAAATGGCGCCGTCCACTACTGACCAGAACCACTTTCGCAGCTTCTGAACATATTTATATTTATATTTATATTTATATATAATCCTCGCTCGTTGAGTTTTAAGTATTTCAAATTATTTGGCATTCTTTTATGTCAACAATGTTTATTTATATATAGATACACACTAGATTTAGGATATTTTAGACATTTGTCAAAATCTCTCAATTTTAAATTTAAAGTAAGAAACTAACTTGGGACAAATGAAAACAAAGAAGCAGGCAATTAAACCATGACAAGCCTATTTCTAGAGTTGCGATCCACATTAGAATTGTGAAGAAAAATTATTCTTTCTCTCTCATGCATGTCCTATTTCTCATTTGATTTTCAGGTTATCAACCCAATACCTTAACCATAAATATCTCAATTCATTTATAAGATTATTGAAAAAAATATTTCAAAATGAAATATTCATTTCAGGGAGACGTGTCTTTTGCAATTCTTCAACCAGAAAAATAACTCTAGGTTAATCTCGATTTTCAAGTAATGACTCGTAGTTCACACATTATCTGAAATATATTTTGGAGTATTTTATTTTTATGATAAGAATTCTTAGGTTTTACATTATTTAAAATATATTATAGGGGTTCTTAAAATTAATGATAATGTACTCTATAGGTAATTTTGTTTATTTGAAAGTTAGGAAAAAAAATTTGGTACTTTAACAAATACTAAATTTTACCATCATAATTATTATTTTACTAAATTTAAATAAGATTCTTTAGTTTCTCAAAGTAAAAGAGTTTCAATCCTAACGCTTAAATAGACAGAATCTACCCTCGAAATATAATACCACAAATAAGTACCCTAAAGAACATTTTGAATAATGTGGGACTTGAAAGTCTTAATAGAAAATGAGATGACCCTGAAATATATTTCAGACAATGCAGATTTAATTTGCAAGTCATTATCGGAAAATCAAAGGCAACCTAGAGTAATTCTATGTTCTTCAACCGGTTTGATACAAAATTTGTTGATTGTCCACTTGAGTAAAGTGTTAGAGTTCCTTGTTAGAAACTTGAGGAAAAAATAAATATTTTCTGAAATTGATTGCATTCAATCTTTTAATGTAGTCTATGTCAAATATGTTATATGAATGAGGGAATTTACTTAAATAACAATAAAATATAATGACTTTTCATAAGTAGCATCACATGAATTCTTTTCCCAATGTAGCACTTTTAGTCATTATCCATTAGTTATTATTCAAGTAAATGTTCGCTATCACTGAGCATTATTAAGTGCTATTTGAAGAATAAAATAGTTTAAATACTATTTAGTGAAATGACTAAAGTTTTAGTGTTATTTAGTACAAATATTTTTATAGTGAATGAGTATGAAATTTCACTAAAATACAAAGAATGCCTCGAAGCATAAACCAAGGATACACGGCCCACTAATATATTTAGGAAACCGATGGGTCAAATATGGGCTGTCCTACAAGTTGCTGAAAAAAGGCCGTCCATCAATTGATTTTCTTTGGGCTGCACATTGTATATTTGAATGGACGCTTTCTTATCATGCTCACACACACACACACACATATAGACACACACAAACGAATCCTCAGTTAACTATTAAATATGTAATTATGAATTTATAATATTATGAATTTGACATGTTATTATATTTATTACTATAATTTTAATTATTGTAAAAAAAATTAAAAGATTTAGAGGGTGTTTCCCTGTGAAACTTATTGGCTTATTGATGATTAGAAACTTTTAACTTATAAATTGATTATAAATAAAATATTCACTTGGTAGTAAAATGATTTCAATGAAAGATAACTTATTTGGGGATATTCGTAAAATGTGAGAGATATTTTTTTGCGGTCAAGATGAAAAAATGAAAAAAAAACTAGACAAAAAATAAGTAAGGACAACTTATTTTCTTTTAATGTTTACCGTGAAAAATTAAATAAGTAGAAGGAAAACTTATGAAAGGAGGATGCTTGTAAAGTTATGCTTGGTGTGACATATCATGAGGGTATGATCTTAATTAGTACTCCTTACGTTCGGAAATATTCTTTCAACTTTCTTTTTGACTCGTTCGGAAATATTCTTCCCATTTTCTTTTTTAGTATACTTTTTAAGGGTAAATTTCAATAATACACTTCTATTTTATTACTAGTCTATTTTTTTATTGCTTTTTTAATAAGAAAAGGAGATTTAAAAGTTTATGGTATGTGCAATTTTAGAAATTTGACATTTTTTAAAATATTTTTTAGTAAGCGTGCCAAGTCAACACGGGAAGAATATTCCCGGATGGAGGGAGTAGCATCTTGGAACTCATCATGTAACACAAAGGAGGATCAACTTGTGTACTTAATTGGAAAGCTTTATTATATTGAATAGGTATGTAAAGCATCTCATTTAATTCTGCATTTGATTCCGATTCAATTCATTACGGAGGAAAATTACTCCTGGCCGGCCGGTCAACTAGTTCGATTAAATAAAGAAATACTAATCGAATTAAAGCTAATGACGAATAATATCATCTGGAATTTGAGGCATTTCTGATTTTGTCAGTTGCAATCGCTACACAAAACATATATTCTGGCCGGAGAATTTAAAACTGTTTAATGAAACGTCCATTTCAAATATGGCATTAGAGACGAGGACATGTGTCGTTTAGAAAATTTTATGAGATGCATAACAAATGAAACAGGAACATCTTTTAGGGAAAAAAGGGAGTACTAAATAGGAAAGAATTTCAATCGTTCTTCAAGGTCCAAGAACAAGATGGAGAAAAGATGGAAGACTTCGAGCGTTTTCTAGCTGCCAAAAGAAGATGAAGAAATATCGAGAATAATTTCTGTATTCATTGATTGATAATCAAGCTACAGGATTACAATATATAGGGAGAGAAAAATCCAAATTGACCTAATTAATAGGTTCGGGCACATACTAAATTCTAAACATTATTAAATAATACTCTCTCCGTCTCGTAAAAAAGTTCTCTTTCTTTTTTCATCCGTCCCAAAAAAACACTTCCTTTTTCCTTTTTCCTTTTAAAAAGTCACTTTTACCCATACTAATTCTTAACCTACCTATCACATCACACGTTGTTTCTATTAATTTATCCATCACATCAAAGGGCATTTTTGGAAATTTAACACCAAAATACATTCTTCTTAAATCCTCAAAAAAGTCAAAACGGGAACTTTTTTAAGGTACGGAGGGAGTATATATTATTACTAAATAAATAATACTCCGTAGTCCGTATTATTCTTTTTCCGTATTAGAGCCCTCCTCGGCCCATAACTCGCAATCTCATTGGGCACAATTCCAATATTCATAAATATGAAAATTTTTAAGGAAAAAAAAGACTAAAATAGAAGTAAACATTAAAAATATACCAAAATAGAAGATCTATGTTTTTGTTTTCAAAATAGGAGTTAAAATACATTTACATGTCCATTCATGATCATGTACGTACATTACCAAAAAATTTAGTGGATTGTACACGTAGAGTGCCACATTATCACAGTGTGAGCTTTTATTTAGAAAATAAAAGGATGGAACTCCTATTTTGATACTTTCACTATGTTGTACTCATATTTAGGGTCGTTTCACAAATTTTTATGTCACGGAGCGAGTAATAAATCATGGAATTCGCCTACACGATATATATAGTCCAGTTGCTTCGGGAAGGAGCGGATTTGCAACATGACATAACGTTTGATTCCGAGCATTGTGAGTATGAGAGTGATATTGTAAGGTCATTTTGAGCTATAAGAATGAGCTTCTTGCATATATGTACGTGGGGTTGACCCCCCGCTTTATAACGGGGCCGTTGGGTTTCTAATTTACCACCTTCCACGCACATACCTCATCGGGGTGGGGTGTGAGGGGCCCTTGGGGGTGATGAGGATTCAAGCCCAACCCGTTTTTGCAACATTAAAGCATGGGATTCATTTCAGTTGCTGCTGACATCATCTCATGGTGATGGAGAATCTGGTTTTTATATTCCAACTAAATAAATTAATCTAAAGGAACAAAGTATGTAGTTTGTCTAGAAGCTAACTTTTACTCCTTCCGTCCATAAATATTTGTCACACTTGTATTCCCGAGGTAAAATATTAAGTTTTTTTCAATTCATTTTATTTACATATTAGTATAGAAATAAAAAAATAAAATTTACATATTAAAAAACTACATGAAAAGTTTTTCGAAATAAGAGGTGTCAAGAATATTTTATTTTATCAAATAACCAATGGAAACGTAGAAATAAACAAAAGTTCTTGCGACTGCTGAAAAAGCAAACGATGCAAATATTTTGGGACGGAGGGAGTAACTTTTTTCACACTATAAATATAGCTAGGAGGGGGGGGGACTCTCATGAGTTCCACATTAATTAAGTAATTATAAGTAAGTAATTAGTTAATTAATAACAAAAGAGAGTTAATTATATATTAGAGCAGATAGAGAAGAAGAGATGTCGTCATCATCATCATCACAACCACCAAAAGAGCCATTGGTGAGAGCGAGAGTGATAGGGGATGTGGTGGACATGTTCACGCCAAGCCCAACCGTGTCAATGTCTGTCATTTACGAGTCTTACGACTCTTACCGTTTCTGCTGCGGCCACGAGTTCCTCCCCTCCGACGTCACTTCTCCGCCGAGGGTCCGCGTTCACGGCGCCAACCTCAAAACCTTCTTCACCCTCATAAGCAACTATATATATGTGCTCCTTCGTTATTAAGAGATTCAAGGGAAGTCTATTTTTTTTTTAACTTTTCAACAATAATTTTAAACTTCAAACAAAATGAGCATAATTGATTATTAAAATTTGTCAAACATGGTTCGAAAAATTCAAATTGGATGAACACTACTTTGACAGAGAGAATTTGTTAATTAGCTACATGCCTCTTTTTTCCCTCTTTTTTTAAAGAAATATTTGCATGAAATAGCACTAAAACTTAAGTCATTTCTCTAAATAGCATTTAAACTGTTTTATTTTCTAAATAGCACTTAACAATGTCCAGTGATGACGAATATTTACTTGAATAATGACTAATGTATAATGACTAAAAGTGCTATATTGGGAAGAAAAACACATGTGGTGTTATTTAGAGAAAGTCATTATATTTTAGTGTCATTTAAGTAAATTTCTCTTTTTTAAAAGCCATTTAATGCTCATAAATTTAATTATATCACTCGGTGCGTTTTTTTTTGGGCTACAAGATTATGACAGACCC